AGAGAAGTGTGTCTTCATCTGAACAGGCTTAAAAGTAGGATCCTAACATAAAAAAGGCACAGATTATTTATCTCACACACATATATTATACATACATACAAACATACACACAGTGGATATAAAAAGTCTACCCCCACCCCTGTTAAAATGTCAGGTTTCTGTGATGTGAAAAAATGAGAAAAATCATTTCAGAACTTATTCCACCTTTATTGTAACCTATAAACTGTACAACTCAATTGAACAACAAACTGAAATCTTTTAGGTGAAGGGAAGTAAAAATAAAAAAACTAAAACAACATGGTTGCATAAGTGTGCACTCCCTTAAACGAATACTTTGTTGAAGCACCTTTTGATTTTATTACAGCACTCAGTCTTTTTGGGTATGAGTCTATCAGCATGGCACATCTTGACTTGGCAATGTTTGCCCACTCTTCCTTGCAAAAATACTCCAAATCTGTCAGTATCTCCTGTGCACAGCCCTCTTCAGATCACCCCACAGATTTTCGACTGGATTCAGGTCTGGACTATCCCAAAACTTGAATCTTCTTCTGGTGAAGCCATTCCTTTGTTGATTTGGATGTACGTTTCAGGTCGTTGTCATGCTGAAAGATGAAGTTCCTCTTCATGTTCAGCTTTCTAGCAGAAGCCTGAAGGTTTTGTGCCAATATTGATTGGTGTTTGGAACTGTTCATAATTCCCTCTACCTTGACTAAGGCCCCAGTTCCAGCTGAAGAAAAACAGCCCCAAAGCATTATGCTGCCCCCACCATGCTTCACTGTGGGTATGGTGTTCTTTTGGTGATGTGCAGGGTTGTTTTAGCGCCAAACATATCTTTTGGAATTATGGCCAAAACATTCAACCTTGGTTTCATCAGACCATAACACATTTTCCCACATGCTTTTGGGAGACTTCAGATGCATTTTAGCAAAATTTAGCCGGGTTAGGATGTTTTTCTTCGTAAGAAAAGACTTCCGTCTTGCCACTCTACCCCATAGCCCAGACATATGAAGAATACGGGAGATTGTGGTCACATGTACCACACAACCAGTTCTTGCCAGATATTCCTGCAACTCCTTTAATGTTGCTGTAGGCCTCTTTGCAGCCTCCCAGATCAGTTCCATGGTAGATCTAATGCCTTGGAAATTCCTTTTGTGCCCTTCTCCTGACGGATACCTTTTAAACAAAGATCCCTCTGATGCTTTGTAAGCTCTCTGCGGACCATGGTTTTTGCTGTAGGATGAGACCATGAAAATGTCAGAAAAGACCTACTAGAACAGCTGAACTTTATCTGGGGTTAATCAGAGGCACTGTAAATGATGGCAGGTGTGTACTGACTCCTCTAACAGGATTTTGAATGCAGTTGCTTAATTCTGAACACAGCTACATCCCCAGTTATAAGAGGGTGTGCATACTTATGCAACCGCATTATTTTAGTTTTTTATGTTTACTTACCCCCTAAAAGACTTCAGTTTGTTTTTCAATTGAGTTGTACAATTTATAGGTCACATTAAAAAGGTGGAAAAAGTTCTGAAATGATTTATCTTTGTCTCATTTTTTTACATCACAGAAACCTGACATTTTAACAGGGGTGCGTAGACTTTTTATATGGGACCAATTGTGATAGGATGCTCTATTATTCGGGACACATGGAAATGGACTGTAGCAAAGACAGTTGAAAAATAATTTTCCTCTTTCGGAGGTTCGCACAGACCTACAAAGTCACATTATAACTCATTTTTTTTGTTTTATGCTGCCAAAACAAACATGACTTTTGTAGTTAGAAATACTAATTATTTTTACCCTAAATACTTACACGAACCAGCTTTCTGGAACTTTTAGGGGAAACTTCATTTCCATATGATGATGGATTTAATGACTTCTAGAAAACAAAGCAAAATATTATCGTTAAGGTTCAGTATAAGCAAATCTCCATTCACTGTAATGTTAATTAATATACATATGAGCAGGCTAGAGCAGTGCCAAAAACAAGAGAACAATAGAGAAGTGTGTCAGAATAAGTATGACCATCCCAAAACAGAAGGAAAATAAAACAAGGCGCCATTATAAAAAGATAAGGAGCAAAGGAGTAAAAGGATATGATTTTCTATAGGAGTCAACCAGCTTCTGTGTTTGATTTACTAGTTCAGGTGAAGGGTGCATTCAGATATGCATATATTCACAACCATGGTGCGTTTGTGAGAACCCAAGCAGGGGTTCACACGATCAGCTGCAAGCGGCAGCACCATTAAAAGCAATGGAAGGATGCCAGCAATCACAGCTAATCGTGTCACACACATGCTGCAATCACATACAAGTGATCGTCCTTAGATGCAGACCGATCATTTGCATGCGATCGCAGCATGAACAATTACATGTGAGTGAGTGCGATTAGCTATGAGTGTCAGCAGCCTTCCATTGCTTTTAATGGGGCTGCCTACTCACCGGTAGTCATGAGAACCCCCGCTGGGGTTCTCGCTTGTAATCGGTGGGCAGAGTACATTCGCTGGTGCAAATGTACCCTAAAAGGAAACCTGTCTGGATAAAAAAAAAAAAAAAAAAAAAAACACAACAGAAGTAGCTAATACTTGGTTATTGTAGAGGCTTGGGTACAGTTAACCTCCTAGAATGACCTAGAACGCGTATATAGCCAGTGAATTCAGAACTCTTCACTCTGTATGCTTGCTTCAGGGTCAGCGAATTAAAAAGCAGTACAGCAAAGATTAGCTCTGGAGCTTGGATCTTCAAATATCAGAATTGGAAACACCTACATTCAGGTCCATAAATATTGGGACATCGACACAATTCTAACATTTTTGGCTCTATACACCACCACAATGGATTTGAAATGAAACAAACAAGATGTGCTTTAACTGCAGACTGACAGCTTTAATTTGAGGGTATTTACATCCAAATCAGGTGAACGGTGTAGGAATTACAACAGTTTGCATAGGTGCCTTCCACTTGTTAAGGGACCAAAAGTAATGGGACAATTGGCTTCTCAGCTGTTCCATGGCCAGGTGTGTGTTATTCCCTCATTATCCCAATTACAATGAGCAGATAAAAGGTCCAGAGTTCATTTCAAGTGTGCTATTTGCATTTGGAATCTGTTGCTGTCAACTCTCAAGATGAGATCCAAAGAGCTGTCACTATCAGTGAAGCAAGCCATCATTAGGCTGAAAAAACAAAACAAACTCATCAGAAAGATAGCAAAAACATTAGGAGTGGCCAAAACAACCGTTTGGAACATTCTTAAAAAGAAGGAACGCACCGGTGAGTTCAGCAACACCAAAAGACCCAGAAGACCACGGAAAACAACTGTGGTGGATGACCGAAGAATTCTTTCCCTGGTGAAGAAAACACCCTTCACAACAGTTGGCCAGATCAAGAACACTCTCCAGGAGGTAGGTGTATGTGTGTCAAAGTCAACAATCAAGAGAAGACTTCACCAGAGTGAATACAGAGGGTTCACCACAAGATGTAAACCATTGGTGAGCCTCAAAAACAGGAAGGCCAGATTAGAGTTTGCTAAACGACATCTAAAAAAGCCTTCACAGTTCTGGAACAACATCCTATGGACAGATGAGACCAAGATCAACTTGTACCAGAGTGATGGGAAGAGAAGAGTATGGAGAAGGAAAGGAACTGCTCATGATCCTAACCATACCACCTCATCAGTGAAGCATGGTGGTGGTAGTGTCATGGCGTGGGCATGTATGGCTGCCAATGGAACTGGTTCTCTTGTATTTATTGATGATGTGACTGCTGACAAAAGCAGCAGGATGAATTCTGAAGTGTTTCGGGCAATATTATCTGCTCACATTCAGCCAAATGCTTCAGAAACTCATTGGATGCCGCTTCACAGTGCAGATGGACAATGACCCAAAGCATACTGCAAAAGCAACCAAAGAGTTTTTTTAAGGGAAAGAAGTGGAATGTTATGCAATGGCCAAGTCAATCACCTGACCTGAATCCGACTGAGCATGCATTTCACTTGCTGAAGACAAAACTGAAGGGAAAATGCCCCAAGAACAAGCAGGAACTGAAGACAGTTGCAGTAGAGGCCTGGCAGAGCATCACCAGGGATGAAACCCAGCGTCTGATGATATCTATGCGTTTCAGACTTCAGGCTGTAATTGACTGCAAAGGATTTGCAACCAAGTATTAAAAAGTGAAAATTTGATTTCTGATTATTATTCTGTCCCATTACTTTTGGTCCCTTAACAAGTGGGAGGCACATATGCAAACTGTTGTAATTCCTACACCGTTCCACTGATTTGGATGTAAATACCCTCAAATTAAAGCTGACAGTCTGCAGTTAAAGCACATCTTGTTTGTTTCATTTCAAATCCATTGTGGTGGTGTATAGAGCCAAAAATGTTAGAATTGTGTCGATGTCCCAATATTTATGGACCTGACTGTATATCTAAATTTGAAAACGTTCTCATAAAATAAATGTTTTTTTATAACAGACAGATCAGTGATGCAACATTGAAAAAATAACCCAAGTAATTAATATATGGGTCTAGTGGATTCTAGTACACAATACTCAACAGGTTTACTGCACCTCTGCAGTATGCCTTATGAGCGACATGTTCCATTGTTCACAACTCCAATACAGAAGCGATTTCAAGAACATGAGCCCTCTTGTTTTCTATCAAGGGGGGTGTAACCCACAAAAAGTGGAGCATAGCCTCTCAGCATCCATCCTTTTATGGGCAAGGAATAATACCCCAGTAGTCTGCTGGCTCTCCCATCTGGCTCCCCGATCTGAGAAAGTATGCGGTGAGTGCTATACTTCAAACTGCACAGAAGTACAAAATAGATATGATTTTGAGGACACAAGTCCTCCAAATTTTGTACTAAGGGGTACAGCCCACAGAGGATGCATCATAGCCTTTTAAGGGGTCCCCCAATCAACAGTTGGAACAAAGTAAAAAAAGTATGCTGTGTGCACTATACTTTCCGCTATACACAAGTCCAATACAGAAGTGATTTTCACATTAGGCATCAAGCACCTCCACAATATGAGGACGGACAGTTTTTTGGACTTTTTTATTCCTTTGAATTCCTCCCAAAAAGTGCTCCACCTCCTTCGAAGCCACTGACATCTGTTGTGGGGTGGCATTCAGGGAACACCTGATGAACAGGAAATAAAAAGTAGCATTAAAAAAAATACAATACCACCACTACTCTATTGAAGGGTTGAGTTGAACCTTACAGACATCATCCGTAATATTTCCTCATCTAAGCTTCTGCTACAGAATTTCACTCCTACTGCAGCATTCTCCAGAGTGTAATAGAATGAGAAACCAAACTACAAGAGCATGAGCACTATATAGTGAATGTGGGTTGTTGTCTCTAGATCTTGCCTTAAGTCCCAGAAAGATGCAAGAATCTGTAGGGCAGTTCAGCATATAAAACCGATTAGATTTGTGTCGTTAAAATCTTTTTTTCTTTCCTTTCTTTTTTTTTGGGGGGGGGGGGTGGCAATTTAACAGGCTAAGCAGTGCATATTTGGAAACATAAGACTATATGATATAGCCAGGGAAAACCATGTTATTGTATTATTATGAAGATAGGTCTGAAAATGCAGCTTCCTCAAAGGTGGTATTAATGCTAAAGGTTTTTTACCTTGAGTCCTCTCTCAGACCAGAGCTGTGCCTGTCTGCAGCAGCACTGCTTTCTCTTCTTTGATTTACAGATTTCGCTGAGAGAAATGGTAGCCATTGGCTCCTTCTGCTGTCAGTCAAATCTGGGGGGGAAGGGAGTGGAGGACAGGGCCAAGCCCCACTGTGTGTCAATGAATGTACACAGCCCCGCTCCGGAGTGCACCCGCATGTGTGCCCTAATTGCTCCTGCATCTGCCTCCATAGCAAGCTGTGTGCTGAGAGTGCCAGTAATACTCCCCAGTAGAGAAGGCATTACCATTGCACAAAATAGGCAAGTATAACATCTTAGTTTAACCACTTGATGACCAAAAATGTACCAGTACGTTGCTGGACTTCAAGTGGTCATACCAGGATGATCATCCTGATATTGTTTTTTGTTTTTTTTTTTTTTAGAGCCAACAGTCAGCTGACGATAGAGATAATCAGACTGAAACGGCACTGATCAGCTCTATAGTAGAAAACCATAAGCGATAAAGAATTCCTCATTTCCGGTTTCCCCCAAAACATTATATATTTTTTTTTAAAGCAGAGGCCCTAGAGAATAAAATCGTAGGTGTTTGCAATTTTTTTTAAATGTCACACTGTATTTGCTCAGCGGTTTTTCAAAAGCAATTTTGTTTGGAAAAACACTTTTTTGAATTTTAATGCACAAAAACACAATCTATTACCCAATTGTTTGATTCATTTTAAAAGATGTTACGCTGAGTAAATCGATACTTAATATGTCATGCTTTAAAATAGTGCATGCCCGTGCAACTGCAACAAATGATGTAAAATATTATCCAAAGGCAACACTTTTTAAAAGTCTTTACAGGTTACTACAGAGGTCATCTGGTACTAGAATTTTTGCCCTGGATCGGCCATTTGTGGTGATCTCACATGTGTGGATGATCGCTGTTTGCGTGTGTGGGACTGAACATGCGTTTGCATTTGTGTGCTAGCTAGCACGGGGGGGGGGGGGGGGGGGGGGGGGGGGGGAAACGGGGGTGTTTTCAATTGTTTTCAATTGGTCACTGGTCACTGTCATTTTTTTTTTTTTTTGCAGCACGTTGATGGTTATCACAGGCAAAAAGAAATAGCCAGTGACAGGTACTCCTTATGGGGAGATCTGGGGTTGGACCTCAGATGCCTCCTCTTCCCTTAAAAGCATCTAATCAAACCAAAAATTGGTGTGATCAGATGCTATACTAGTTTAAAATGGTGCAGTTTACATCCGGGAAAAACGGAAGTGAAGAACGCTCATCACTTCTGGTTTTCTTTACCATAGAGGTGATCAGTGCCACTCCGGTTACTGATTACCTCTATGGTCAGCTGGCAGAAGGCGGTGGGGGACATCCCCTCCTATGGCTACCTGTCTGGATTGCGTTTTCAAATATATATATATATATATATATATATATATATATATATATATATATATATATATATATATATATATATATATATATATATATATACACACACACACATACATATATACACACACACACACACACATACATATATACACACACACATATATATATATACACATATATATACACACACACACACACACACACACACACACACACACACACAGTGGGGATCGAAAGTTTGGGCACCCCAGTTAAAAATTTGTATTAATGTGCATAAAGAAGCCAAGGAAAGATGGAAAAATCTCCAAAAGGCATCAAATTACAGATTAGACATTCTTATAATATGTCAACAAAAGTTAGATTTTATTTCCATCATTTACACTTTCAAAATAACAGAAAACAAAAAAATGGCGTCTGCAAAAGTTTGGGCACCCTGCAGAATTTATAGCATGCACTGCCCCCTTTGACAAGCTGAGACCTGCCAGTGTCATGTATTGTTCTCAATCATCGTCTGGGAAGACCAGGCGATGTCAATCTCAAAGATTTTAAATGCCCAGACTCATCTGACCTTGCCCCAACAATCAGCAAAAATGGGTTCTTCTAAGCAGTTGTCTAGAAAACTGAAACTGAAAATAGTTGACGCTCACAAAGCTTGAGAAGGCTATAAGAAGATAGCAAAGCGTTTTCAGATGTCAATATCCTCTGTTCGGAATGTAATTAAGAAATGGCAGTCATCAGGAACAGTGGAAGTTAAAGCAACATCTGGAAGACCAAGAAAAAATATCAGACAGAACAGTTCGCAGGATTGTGAGAAAAAACAATTCAAAACCCACGTTTGACTGCACGATCCCTCCAGAAAGATCTGGCAGACACTGGAGTTGTGGTACACTATTCCACTATAAAGAGATACTTGTACAAATATGGTCTTCATGGAAGAGTCATCAGAAGAAAACCTCTTCTACGTCCTCACCACAAAAATCATCGTTTGAACTTTGCAAATGAACATATAGACAAGCCTGATGCATTTTGGAAACAAGTTCTGTGGACCGATGAGGTTAAAATTGAACTTTTTGGCCGGAATGAGCAAAGGTACGTTTGGAGAAGAAGGGGCACAGAATTTAATGAAAAGAACCTCTGTCCAACTGTTAAGCATGGGGTTGGGTCAATCATGCTTTGGGGTTGTGTTGCAGCCAGTGGCACAGGGAACATCTCACGAGTAGAAGGAAAAATGGATTCAATAAAATTTCAGCAAATTTTGGATGGTAACTTGATGCCATCTGTGAAAAAGCTGAAGTTAAAGAGAAGATGGCTTCTACAAATGGATAATGATCCTAAACACACCTCGAAATCCACGGGGGATTATATCAAGAGGCGTAAACTGAAGGTTTTGCCATGGCCTTCACAATCTCCTGACCTCAACATAATTGAAAATCTATGGATAGACCTTAAAAAGAGCAGTGCGTGACAGACAGCCCAGAAATCTCAAAGAACTGGAAGACTTTTGTAAGGAAGAATGGGCAAAGATACCTCAAACAAGAATTGAAAGACTCTTGGCTGGCTACAAAAAGCGTTTACAAGCTGTGACATTTGCCAAAGGGGGCAGTACAAGATATTAACTCTGCAGGGTGCCCAAACTTTTGCAGACGCCATTTTTTTGTTTTCTGTTATTTTGAAAGTGTAAATGATGGAAATAAAATCTAACTTTTGTTGACATATTATAAGAATGTCTAATCTGTAATTTGATGCCTTTTGGAGATTTTTCCATCTTTCCTTGGCTTCTTTATGCACATTAATACAAATGTTTAGCTGGGGTGCCCAAACTTTCGATCCCCACTGTGTATGTGTATATATATATATATATATATATATATATATATATATATATATATATATATATATATATATATACATACATACATACATACACACATATATATATATATATACACACACATATATATATTATACACACACAAAATCATCTTTAAAGCAGGGTGTGCATGTGGGCATAACTGGTGATTTTCCATACTGTCCTCCAACCAATTACTGCAGAAGAAAACAGCTGTGTGGCTTTGATACAATATAGGCTTGTTTTCTTACATATAATAGGTTTACAGGTAAAAGGATAATGCATATTTACAATGTACCTCATGTTATCACTCAACAGTACATATTTGCGAATCCGTGATAACTTCCGCAGTACTGATCCCAAATCAGTCATCTCTGCTATCCGTTTCATGATTTTGACCTAGATTAAGAGCATTGCATGTGGTAACTTGCAGTATTTTAATCTAATGTAGTAACAAGCAATCTGTACAAAATAAAACGGATATGGTAACATTTTGCTTTAATGTTAAAAATATCTTTACTTTGCATGTGTGTGTGTTTGCAAAAAATTAACTTGCAAAGAGAAGGCCTGTAGATTTAATGTGGGTGCACTAAATGGTCTTCATACCTGATCCATTCCTGTAAAGAGCTCTTGCAGTTCTCCAGCAGGTGTGAGTGTCCTGGCTGCACGGAGTTGTGCAAACACTTGTCCAGCATCTGGTACGGCATTGGACAGATCTTGAGCACTCGATTTTACTAAAACATGCAGTCGCTCTTCATCATCAAAATGAGGACTAAGAAAAAAAAAAAAAAAAAAAAAAAAAAAAAAAAAAAAAAGGTACAACATGAATCAATATACCAAAATAAAGTGAAGGTCACATACAGCCATGGCCAAAAATATTGGCACCACTGCATTTCTGTCAGATAATGCACACTTCACCCAGAGAATTACTGCAATTACAAATGTCTAGGTATTTCTCATGTTTCTTTTGTTTGTATTGATATGACACAGAAACGTGAGGAAACAAAAAAAGCCAAACCTGACACATTCCATACAAAATTCCAAAATTGGACTGGACAAAATTAGTGGCACTCTCAATTTAATATTTGGTAGCATACTCCTTGGAAAAAAAATCAGTGCGGTTCTTACACTTCTCTACTGGAAATTCTGACCACTCTTCTTTCGCCAACTGCTTCAGCTCTCTCAGATTGGAAGGGTTCCTTTTCCCCACTGTTGTTCTGAGATCTCTCCACAGGTGCCCTATGGAATTGAGATCTGGACTCATTGCTGTACAGTTCAGTACTCTCCAGCGCTTTGTCCTGAAGCATTTCTGGGTACTTTTTGATGTGTGCTTTGGGCCATTGTCCTGCTGTAAGACCCATGACCCATGATGCAGACCCAACTTTTTGTCCCTTAGCCCTACATTGCACTCCAGAATTCTTTGGTAGTCTTCAGATTTCATAATGCAATGCACACGGTCAAGACATCCAGTGCCTGAAAAAGCAAAGCAACCTCAAAACATCAGTAAACCTCAACCTTGTTTGACTGTAGAGACTATTTTTTTCTTTAAAGGCCTCATTGCTTTTTCTGAAAACAGTAGAATGATGAACTTTGCCAAAACATACCCGAAGAAGCAAAAATCCTTTTGGGAGAATGTGCTGCGGACAGACTAAAGAAACTGGGTTTTTTAGGTTTCTGTGTCAGAAGTGGGGTCCTCCTAGGTCTCCTTCCATAGCATCCCTTTTCAAATCACATGGCGATGCATAGTGCAAGCTGACACAGTTGTACCGTGTACCCTGTGCCTGAAGGTCATCTTGAATTTTTCGGGAAGTTGATAGAGGTTCTTTAGCCACCATGTGAACAATCCTCTGTTGCAATCGATCAATATTTCTCTTTCGTCCACATCCAGGGAGATTAGCTATATAGTGTCATGGGCTGTAAACTTCTTGACAATGTTGCGCACAGTGAACACAGGAACATTAAGAGCTCTGGAGATGGACTTGCAGCCTTGAGATTGTCCATGCTTTCCAACAATTTTTGTTCTAAAATCCTCAGACAATTACTTGCTGCTCCTTCTCTTCTCCATGCCCCATGTAGCACACAGACACACAGCAGAAAGGTTGAGTCAATTTTTCATCATTTTAACTGTTTGCTGGTGTGATTTCTTTATTGTCAGCACCTGTTAACTAATACAGGTGAGTTTAATTACAAATTACAGGAGCATCACAAACTTGGAATGCAATTATTTCTTACAATTTTCAGAAGGTGCCAATAATTTTATCCAGTCAATTTTTGGAGTTTTGTGTGGATTTGGCTTTTTGTTTCTCCACTTTTTTGTGTCGTACCAATACAAACAAAATATATAAATATGAGAATATCTAAGCATTTGTAACTGCAACAATTTTCTGGCCGAAGTGGTGCATTATCTGACAGAAATGCAGGGGTGCCAATATTTTTGGCCATGACTGTATGTAGTATGCATTTCTTGAACAGAGCAGGAGGAGTGAGACATCCTTGCTTGGTTTTGTAATCACTGTGGTGAAAGTACTGCCAAAGTTGGAAAATATGGCTCGGATATCTTACTTCTGATTGAACCAACCCTTTAAAAATACAGTTCACCTGATATATTTGTAGAATACTTGAGGATGCATGCTAAAGCACTGTGACTATGGTCTTAGCAGCAACTCAAAGGAAGATGATAAAACAAAGGTAATATGGCAAATGGACAAAGCCATCTCTCTCTTTCTGAACGGATCATTTTTTGGCTCTATGCGATAATGTAACAACATGGCTGAAAATACAGCTTCCTGTCATTAAATGCTACATACCTGTTAAATATTTCGCTCCACAAATGCATCATGTCAGGTGTGTTCCTATCCAAGCATGATGATGAAAAATGTACACCCTAGAAGAAACGGAAAACAGTCAACATAAACAAAGTAGAACCTCAAGGAAGGCAAAAAAAAAAAAAAAAAAAAAAACACACACACACCAGAAAACCAAAAAAAGGTCTGGATTTTGTTAACTAGGCCACTCGTTGGCTGTATTGCTGCCTGCATCCAACAAGACTTCAGTATACCAGGGCACAGCACTGTCCTAGAGATCACAGACTTCTAAAGAATTAAACACTACTTAAATTGTGCATTGCAGCTAAATTGCTACATGTCTGAACACAATGGGAATGGACCCAGAAACATACAAATCTAAACTAATTTAAACCTAATCTAAATAAAAAAGCATATTATACGGTGTATAGAAAGAGGTGTAACAGCGCCACCACCTTCTCAATCCACAGCCCCAAACTGGTGCTTAGACTATGAGGCTTCCCGTGCCTCTGCAATGCATGTTCCACTGGAAGAAAAGCCGGGACCTGAGAGAAGTTCAAATAGCAGTCTTCCTTTATTAAACTACATGAATTACATCTGTCCTGAGTCGTCCTGCACAATATTATTCTCTTTTTCCACCGCTCGGGTCTGGCGCTGCCATCTTCTTGTGTGACATTATTGGGAGGCTGCCAGCATTTCCACATTCAGCCAGCAGACCTCCTGATGATGCACAGCTAAGCCTGCCCTCCTCGTCTTTTAAGAATAAAGGAATATGCTTCCTGGGATATGCGACATGCAAGAACTGAAACCTTTCCAATCTGCAGGTACCAGCATTTTGAACTGCAGAGCTGTGCAGCAGCGAACAGTGTGCATTTTATTATATTGCACTGTGCTTGCTGTATGGTAACATGCAGCGTCAACTAGAGTGGTGCGATATTATGAAAACATGTTGAATAATCTCACACGGCTCTGGAATGCTGTTAAACACTGTGTTCTTGTGTGAACATGACACAGAAAACATTGTTTGTTTTGATGTGTCATTACAGATACCTGCACTTGTTAAGAAAATCGCAGCTAACTGCACATAGTGTGAATACGTCCTTATAGTTTACTTTTCTGTAATCAAGAATACAGGACCTCAGTGTGCCTTTTTTCTGTGTGAACTTTATTTCAGTAATTTCACCTGTTCATAGTTGTCCAGATTGGAGTCATCTGATGCAACAAGTGGAGAGACACTCATGCCTCCAGTAGTCAAGTCTATCTGCTGGGCCTGCTCTCTGTAATTGTACACACCACAGCCCATCCTGCAGAAAATAGATTAAACACTTACCCAAAGAATATAATGGATCTATTGACAACTAAAAATCACGATAGCATCAAAACAAAGTGTATTGATGTGTATTTTACATGTTAATCAAGCCTTCAAAGCAAATCAAGCTCTCACTGCCTGTGCAGAGTGGTAGAGCCCATAAGTCAAGAAGCGATATTTTGGCAAAATGTCCACCATTCCTGAGGGGCAGGGATTACTTTATGTTGTACAAACCAATGAGTGTTCAGCAAAAGACAGCCATAAGCTATTTATTCAGTGGAATAATCCACAATAAAAAAAGTAATTGGCAATCCTTCAATGTTTATTATCACATCAGACATGGAAGGTATGATCTTATGTTGATGAATACCATCTAAATCAAAAATACAATATTACCTATCTAGATTGTACTAGTATTTTATATATATATATATATATATATATATATATATATATATATATCTATATATCTATCTATATCTATCTATATCTCTATCTATCTTATATAAGACACGGTCTTATATTTCTTTTGGCTTTGGCTCAAAAAAAACAAAAAAACACACTAGGCCTTATTTTCGGGGTAGGTCTTACTTTTTTAAATGTCCAGGTGTGGACAGAGGGTGCAGAGGTGAGCTGCAGTCAGGTGTTGCAGGGGTGAATTGGCAGGTGAGTTTCAGACATGGTGCAGGGGTGAGTTGCAGACGTGGGATGCAGCGCTGAGCTGTGGCCAGGGGGTGCAGCGCTGAGCTGTGGCCAGGGGGTGCAGCGCTGAGCTGTGGCCAGGGGGTGCAGCGCTGAGCTGTGGCCAGGGGGTGCAGCGCTGAGCTGTGGCCAGGGGGTGCAGCGCTGAGCTGTGGCCAGGGGGTGCAGCGCTGAGCTGTGGCCAGGGGGTGCAGCGCTGAGCTGTGGCCAGGGGGTGCAGCGCTGAGCTGTGGCCAGGGGGTGCAGCGCTGAGCTGTGGCCAGGGGGTGCAGCGCTGAGCTGTGGCCAGGGGTGCAGCGCTGAGCTGTGGCCAGGGGGGGTGCAGCGCTGAGCTGTGCCGTGCAAAGGCGGGTTGCAACTCAGCTCACCTCTGCACCGCACCCCCCCAGCCACAGCTCACCTATGCACCCTGTCTGCAACTTACCTGACTCAATTTACCTCTCCAACACCTGACTGCAGCTCACCTTTGCACATCCCCCCTCCCCCTCCACCGCCCTCATATGGTTAGCTAGTTTTGCAAAACACAGCTGTCAGCAGCCAGCCTCTCTCTCTAGTAACTCCCGTTTCAGGTCCTATCTTCCCTCACAGTGCACCAAGCGCACTTACTCACCGCTCCGCATCTTCCCCACTGGCCGGTGATCACCCCTGGGGCATCAGCTTCCATGCATTAGGCTGCAGGAGGAGATGCCCCACCCCTGAACACACTGCATACTGCACCCACAGATATCTGTTCCTTCCCTGTCCCACAGTGAGTACAGAGGTAGGGAGGTTCTGTGGGAGCGGATGGTGCTGTCACTTCAGCCGCGCTTCTGTGTTTATAAGAGACAGTAGATATGGGTGTGCATGGGTGTGCGCAGGGTCAGTGCCGGAGGTGGCGTTCCGGCAGAAAAAAAAAGCCCTGATCACAACTAGGTCTTATAGTATAGCAATTCCCAAAAATATATATATACACACATACATATACACACACACGTGTGTGTGTGTGTGTGTGTGTGTGTGTGTGTGTGTGTGTGTGTGTTACACATATATACATACATACACACACAGATATACACACACATACATATATAACACACACCCACATAGAAGTTTGTCCCAAAGTAAGCCATTGACTCCAAACAGAGAAAAGACTCAGCTTAAGCCACAGAGGCTAAAACTTCAAAAATAAGGCAGCTACCATGTTTCTACTTTGACAGGTTCCTTTAAAGTGTCATTAAGTCTAGGTTCACATCTATGCAGGTTGTGGTTGATACATTTTTCTGGTGCATTTTGCATTTTTGAACACGTATTTTTGATGAGCTTTGCATTTTTTTATTGCCTTTTTAGAGCGTAATTAGCTCTGCTAATGTAGTGCGACTGATGCAACTTTCCACTCTGCCATTAAAAAAAGCATCAAAATCGTGCAGGTGTACAAAGTCAAAAGTTAGTGTTAGGGTTAAGGTTTACAGTTAAATGTTAGGATTAGAAGGATAACCCGAACAATTACCACTAACCCTAACATTTAACCCTAGGCCTTAAATCCAACCGTAGCCCTTAACCCTTACCCTAACATGCAACTTTGTACACCTAAAGGTCCTGCACTACTATGATGCTACTTAAGTGACAAAGAGTGCAAAGTCAGATCAAAGTTGCACTATATGAACAGAACTGCCATACTTTCCTATTAGCAAAAAAAAAGAAAACCGCAAAGGGCAAAATGCATTAAAAAATGCAACACTTGCGTTTTGTCTGCAGGTCTATTGAAGTCTATTACATGTAAAATGCAATCAGCTGCAGGAAAAAAGTCCCTGACCCTTTGCAAAAAATGCACAAATGTGAACTAGAGCCATAGGAAACTATGTTAAATGGACTGTATTGCGTTTATACAAAACTCACTAAAAAACCGCATAGGTGTGTGAACCAAGGGTAAATCCAAAACATGCTATACAACAGAATGTACTCACAAAGCCACTAAAGCATTTGTTTTGTGTAGAGTGAAATATACCTGGTTGATCCTGCCTTCAGCTGTCCCTCCCCATTGCAGCATGAGATTGTGTAGACCAGCTGGCATCCTCAACTAAGAATGCTCATATTTAAGTTCCCTTCTAAGCTGTTCATTTGCTCCTTTTTCTTATCTGTGCAGCCCACATGACTATACCACTGTGTATACACCTACACGTGTGATTATAAATGACACTCCCCTCCCTTCCTCCTTCTCCACGTCCTATTATTGCTAAACACTACGGGGCAAGATATAGTATAAAACGGATTGATTACATTCACTAAAACTCACAAAAAGCAATTACATTTGATATATTTGGTACTGATTTATATTAAATCCAACTCAATACCTAATCAGTCATTTTTGACACTAACTACACTATATTATGAACCACAGTGGTATGCTATACAGTGGGTAAAACTATTTGGTCCCCTGCAGATTTTGTAAATTTGCCCACTTACAAAAAAAAATTAAGGGTCTATAATTTTTATCATAGATGTAATTTAAAAATGATAGAATATCAACCCCCCCCCCCAAAAAAAAAAAAAAAAACACATGATACAAATGTCATAACTTGAGTTGCAGTTCAGTGAGGAAAATACGATTAATCCTGTCAATTTAAGAACAACTCATGTGCATAAAAGACACCTGTCCACAGAATCCCTTTCTTCCATTCCAACCTCACCACAATGGGCAAGAGCTGTCAAAGGACATCAGGGGCAAGACTGTAGACCTGCACAAGGCTGGAATGGGCTATAAGACCATCAGCAAGAAGCTTGGTGAGAAGGAGACAACGGTTGGAGCGATTATTCACAAATGGAAGAAATACAAAACAACTATCAATCGCCCTCGATCTGGAGCTCCATGAAGGATTTCGCCTCATGGGGTAAAGGATGATCATGAGAAAAGTGAGAGATCAGCCCAGAACTACATGGGAGAAGCTTGTGAATGGAGTGGCTCAAGAAGAAGCACGTTAACGTCATGGAGTGGCCTAGCCAGTCTCCAGACCTTAATCCTACAGAAATTTATGAAGGGAGCTGAAGCTTCGAGTTGCTAAGCAACAGCCAAGAAACGTTAAAGATTTAGAGAAGATCTGTAAAGAAGAGTTGACCAAAATCCCTCCTGAGATGTGTGCAATCCTGATAACCAACTACAAGAAACATCTTACCTGTGCACTTGCCAACAAGGGTTTTTCCACCAAGTACAAAGTCATATTTTACTTGGGAATCAAATACTTTCTTTACTCACAGAACTGCAGCTCAATTTATAACATTTGTATCACGTGTTTTTTCTGGAATTTTGGTTGATATTATAAATTATAGACCCTTCATTTCTTTGTAAGTGGGCAAACTCACAAAATCTGCAGGGGATCAAATAACCATTTTACACACACCAAAAAATTAAAGGAATACTTTCACAACACATCAGATCTCAATCTGGAAAAATAACATGTTGGATATCTACACGGATATAGGCTGGGTATCTACAGTGGATATAAAAAAACACACCCCTGTTAAAATGTCAGGTTTCTGTGATGTAAAAAAATTAGACTAAGAAATAATTTCAGAACTTATTCCACCTTTATTGTAGTATATAAACTGTACAACTCAGTTGAACAACAAACTGAAATGTTTTAGGTGGAGGGAAGTAAAAATAAAATAAAAAAATAAACTAAACCCTTAAACTAACTTTGTTGAAGCACCTTTTGATTTTATTACAGCACTCAGTCTTTTTGGGTATGAGTCTATGTATACGAGTATATATAAATTAATGAGAATGAATTATGGCAGTTAACACTTCTCTGTTTAGTATCACTTTAAATTGAGAATCTTTTGAATGTCTAATTATTCATTCATTAACCTCATGACTGCCCTCTATAAAGGGCTGGTTCACACCACAGAAATGCAGTCTGGATGAGTTTCTGTATGTGCATTTTTGACTTAAATAAGGATATGTGCGTTCCGGGACGTTTTACTGCGTTCCTGTAAAGTTCAGTGCAGAAAAAAATGCAGCATGTTCTAGTTATTTTTCTGGAACTGGAACGCACTGGAACTGACTGTGACGTATGCCCTTGGAAACCATTTAACCTATCAATTCATTCTTGATGCAGAGAAAAAATGCACTGGATTGCATGTGGTGTGAACTGGCCCTAAATACAATCAGCACAACTACCCAGCTTTTCACATGAACTCAAACAAGAATGCCACATAAAAATCAATTACTTAAAATTACACTATACCGAATGTCCAAAAAATATTAGACTTTCCTACCATAATTGTAAGTAGTCTGTGTTCCTTCCAACGGCATAGTTAGAGCACTTTCATACAACTACATTCATAAATACATTAGCATCTACTTCCATGATGAAGATGACCAAGTTTACCCTCCACGGTCCCACTGTATATGGAATATAGCCACTCTTGTTTGCCCACTTCTGTCAAAAACTACAGGTATACAAGCTGGCACATGACCAGTTTGAATACATTCTAATGCAGGACTGCAAGTGCAATGCGTATTGGGAGATGTAGTTTAAATATAACAGCGCAAGTGACCGCAATTTACATGCACCACCTGTACTCATTCAGAAACATGGAAGGAGCAGCAGTTACAAAAAAAAAAAAACAAAGTTTGAACAATTGTATTCAATGCCTTGCCTTGTGTTTGCAAAGATCATTTAGTATCATTTGAACATCAAAATAATGTGGGAAGAATTAAAACTACTTACTTAGTGAGAACAGAGCAGAAGAGTGGAACATAGGGCTTCAGCTCCTCAGGAAGTGTATTCAGGCTTGAGATTGCTCGGAAATACACCATGCCATTTGTAGGCTGGGCACAGTACTGGATCGGAACGTCACCTGCAGTATACAAACATCTTTTCACACACAGAAAAACACACCAAAATTTGAAACTACACTGGACACCGAGATTCCTTTCTGTTATGAAATTTTGTAAAATAATTGTTCTTTCTACAAAATTTAGGCCAAAATGTATTCTACTACATTTTTTTGGTGAAAATAACCCATATCAGTGTTTATGATTTAGTTGGTAGGAAAGCTTTAGAGTTCACAAACTATGGTATATGTATATAAAAAATCGATAAATCCTGATGTACTGATGGCCAACAAATGCCAGGACAGTACAAATACCCCCCACATGACCGCTTTTCGGACAGTAGACAGTCTAAGGTAGTTAGTAAAGAGGCATGGCAAGTTTTCTGAAGTTGTAATTTTTTTGTCACAATTGTGTGGAAATTGATGAAAAAAAAAAAAATTTTTTTTCTTTTTTACATACGGTCACCAATGCAGTACAGCATCATCATATTACTGGCGGTAATCAGGAACACTGACTAGCGACAGTATGAAAAACTTTTTTTTTTTTTTTTAATGTATTACTTTTTGATTTTTTTTTCTACTCCTGTGACCGGAGCAATACAATGTTACCTTAGGCTACTTTCACACTTTTTGAAGCATTTTTGCATGAAAAAAAAGCACCTGAAAAGCTTAAAAAAAAAATACTTCCCTATGCATGTGAATGTATATCTATGTATGTTTTCACATTGAGGCATAGCACTTGTGGTGCGGTGTAAATACACCTGCTTGCAGAATCTTTGCAGCATGTTTGGCGAGTTTAAAAAAAAAAAAAAAAAAAAAAAAAAAAAAAAAAAAAAAAAAAAAAAAAAAAAAAAGCACCAGAAATGCCACTTCCCGTTGAAATCAATGGAAAATGCCTGAAAAGTGCCTCAAAAACGCCTCTGGAAAGCGTTTTTGAAGCAGTTTAAGTCACGTGTCTTTAAAAACGCTCAGAGAGAGCTGCAAAAATGCCTATGCGTTTTTGCAGCAGATCAGTGTGAAAGTAGTCTTAGTAACATACTACTTTGTACTACTCTGGGCAAGTGATCAGGATTTTTTTTTTTTTTTTTTTTTTTTTTTTTTTTTTTACTTTAAAAATGCTTGCTTATACCAATGACATTCATTGGTATAAGCACTTTTACTGAATAAAACGGATTCACTCAGTAGCTTTTGTTATCAGCTGTGATTGGCCACAGCTCAACACATGCTACAGATGTACAGACTGGCATGTGATCAATCACAGCTAGCAGCACAGTTGTAAGCAATGAATGGCATTGAAAGGAAGCCTTTCATTGTTTACAACTGTCATGTGATCTGCTGTGATTGGTCACAGCAATCGCAGCAGGCCGGTGTAGTGAGCCGTCATCAGCCCTGTCCGGTGAACACAGACGGTGACAGATGGCTCCAGAGCATGGTGCGCGATTCTGGGAGGACATTGTAAGACATCCTCCCAGGGTAATGGGGATCCCACTCAACCATCATCTTGCAATAGGCCGAGCACGAAAGTTAATAGGGCTGGTTGTTCCTACCGCAAATCCTTATCTGCAAACAATCTATTGTCAGCTTACAGGCCAAGTAAAAATAAATAAAACCGCTTTCTTCAGTAAGTGTAGTTTAGGCACAGTCATCTTTTGTAAGTGGTTTCAAATATAATGGACGTTGTACAAGTTTAAGCTGTAAAATGAGATTTTAACATACAGGTATAAAAACCCAGTATTGAAGCCTGGACAATGAGTTTTCTGTAAGCACTATTATGATACAGCCTTTAGACTCATAGGTTAAAACGAACCATAGCGGGACGAGGCAAGTATCCAGGTAAAAAGCAATAAAACATCCATTATTTTCTGAGAAATCTCTAAATCAAAATCTAAAATTCTCACAAAAGGATTCAATTTTTTATGGCTATAGCAATCATTAGCAGAATACTTTACTAACCTGCATATGCAAATTCCAGTTCTGTGAGAGGGATGGTCTTCTCAATGTCTGACACTTTAAGGGAAGGGAGGCATGAGGCATCTAGCTGTTCAGTTTGAAAGCGTAGCAATTCTAAACCTATAGAAAAGATAAGACTTTTACTACAGAAATAAACACAGGGCATATAACAGTCTAAAAAATGGATTTAATTTAAAAAATCTCATTTAGGTATTCTATGTAATGTGAGGAATGCCAAATTTGTACTGTCCTGATACAAACACCAAAAGTACCTCCATCATGCTGTCAGAAAAGATTAGTAGACAGAAGACCAAATTGCAATCATAGATGGATTTGTATTAGTTGTGGGACACTGCAAATCCTTGGGGTATTAGCCCAGTCTTTGGAAAGATAGATAGGCAAAAAAAAAAAAAAAAAAGTGTTGGGAATAAACCTTATGGGCAAGAAACTGAAATATAAGTGTATAGCAACACTACTAGACTGAAGAGAAACAATCAAACAAGGGTGCTTTTAAACTGCTCTGTTAAAAAAAAAAAATGTATTAAAAAACATATATGCGGTTTCAATGCGTTTCCAGTAGGGATGCACCGATACTCTTTTCTGATCGGCGAGTACGAGTAATGATATTTTCAGTCAAATACTCGCCGATACAGAGTATTGATACTTTGTGGTGCGATGTGCTTTTAGTACAAAATGGATAGAACCAATCTGCACAGCAAAGAATAGCATGCAATTTAAACAGGAATGCAATTCCCATCCAAATCGCATGCGGTTTCTCCACTGCTCCTGTGTGAACTCAGGTTTCACACAGGAACAGTGGCAAAAAAAAAAAAAAAAAAAAAAAAAAAAAAAAAAAAAAAACTTGCACTGATCCCATGCTGTGCGGAGAGTGGTAGAGAAAGGCGTGTGAGGATGTATACCTTGGTGTCGGTAATCAGGTGGAGGATGGAAGCAGATGCTCCGGATTCTCAGGTAGTAGGAGAGGAGAGAAAACCAAGGCAATGTCCCGGATTCTAAGCTGTAGGAGAGGAGAAAGCCATGGGGATTTCAAATTCCTGCAGGTTTTTCTCCTCTTTACAGAGATGACAGTATGAGCTAGACAGCTTTTATTGTTATGGTGTTGACCAATCAAAAGCTGTCTAGCTCATACTGTCATCTCTGCAAAGAGGAGAGAAAGCTGCAGGAATTTGAAATCCCCACGGCTTTCTCCTCTCCTACAGCTTAGAATCCGGAACATTGCCTCAGCTTTCTCTCCTACAGCAGAGAATCCGGAGCATCTGCCTCCATTCTCCACCTGATAGCCAACACCAAGGTACATGGCGAGGGATCAGTGCAAGGAGGTTTCCCGCACTGTTTCTGTATGAACTCAGGTGTGAACCTGGCCTCCAGATCTCAGTCCATTCGAATATCTGTGGGATGAGCTTGAAAAACAAGGCCAATGCATGAAGGCTCCACCTTGCAACATCAGACCCCAACCGCTCCAGCCCTGGCAGACTGATCACACCAAAACCCTCAAACGACACAGTCGTGCCCTGGAGCGACTATGGCGCAAAACAAATCCCAACAAGCCTTCACCCGCTACAAATCTGCCTTCCACACCTACACCTCCCTCCATGCTGCCAAACAGGCCTACTTCTTGACCCTCATCAAGGCCCTCTCCTCCAATCCTCGCCGACTCTTCTCCGCCTACAACTCTCTACTCTCTCCACCCCCACCTCCACCCAGCACCTCACTCACTGCCCTTGAGATTGCCAATCACTTCAAAAACAAGATTGACACAATTCACAAGGACATTGCCGCAACTCACACACCCTCTCAACCCGTCCCCTCTCACACAGCTACCCCCTTATCCCCCCTCGACATAACCCGCAGGGACTTCGTCGCTGCTCAAACTCTCTCCTCCCCCATTCACCCTCACTCAGCTACCCCCTCATCACCCCACCACTGCTCTGACCTCTTCCACCCCACCCTACATTCCTCATACTGAAGCTCCCCCAACACTCCGCACCTTTGACCTTACTACCATCGAGGAAGTCTCCAAGATCCTCTCTGATGCCCGACCTCACCACCTGCCCCCTCGACCCTATCCCCTCAACTCCTACGACATCCTTCCCCCTCCATCCTACGCTCCCTCACCCACATCTTCAATCTCTCCCTCTCCCCCGGCACTTTCCCCTCCCCTCTGAAACATGCACACATCACCCCCCCCATACTTAAAAAGCCCTCCCTGGACCCCAATGACCCGAACAACCTCAGACCCATCTCCATGCTCCCATTTACATCTAAACTCCTCGAGCGCCTAGTCTACACCCGCCTATGCTCTCACCTCAACGACAACAACCTCCTCGATCCCCTACACTCCACCGAAACTGCCTTACTCAAACTCTCCAACGACCTGCTAACCGCCAAAGCTAATGGCCACTATTCAGTGCTCCTACTCCTTGACCTCTCTGCGGCCTTCGACACAGTCGACCACCCCCTCCTCAAAAAACTACACTCCCTCGGCCTCAGAGATTCTGCTCTCTCCTGGCTCTCATCCTACCTGTCACAACGCTCCTTCAGCGTTACCTATAATGCTACCACCTCCCCCTCACTCCCCCTCTCTGTTGGGGTCCCTCAAGGCTCTGTCCTCAGGCCCCTTCTCTTCCCCATTTATACCTCCTCCCTTGGCCAACTCATACACTCTCACGGCTTCAACTACCACCTCTATGCCGACGACACACAAATCTATCTCTCAACCCCCCACCTCACCCCCTTGGTCTCAGCCCGAATCACACACCTACTGAGCGACATAGACTGGATGTCACTCCACTTCCTTAAATTGAACCTCTCCAAAACAGAGTTTCTTGTCTTCTCCCCAGCCCGGACCCCACCCCCCATTGACTTCTCCATCACACATCCAACAACGCTACCATCAAACCCGCCCTGCAGGCCACAGTACTTGGTGTAATTCTGGACTCCAACCTATCCTTTCAACCCCAAGTCTAATCTTTAACAAACTCGTGCAGACTCCACCTCCGCAACATCGCCAAAATACGCACGTCCCTAACCCCAGAAACCACTAAACAGCTCATCCACTCCCTCATCATATCACGACTCGACTACTGCAATTCCCTCCTCACTGGCCTTCCTCGCCGCTGGCTATCCCCGCTTCAGTCGATCCTGAATACGGCTGCCAGACTCATTCACCTTTCCAACCGCTCTGTCTCCGCCACCCCCCCCTCTGCCAATCCCTCCACTGGCTTCCGATTGCGCAACGGATCAAATTCAAAAGCCTAACGCTGACGTACAAAGCCGTCCACCACACTGCCCCGAACTACATTACTGACCTAATATCCAAGTACCGCCCAGCACGCACACTCTGCTCCTCACAAGACCTCCTTCTCTCTAGTTCCCTGGTCTCCTCCTCCCATGCCCGCCTCCAGGACTTCTCCAGGGTGTCACCCATCCTCTGGAACTCCCTGCCCCAACCCATCAGATTATCACCTTTTCTCCTCTCCTTTAGGCGCACCCTGAAAACCCATCTCTTCAGGGAAGCCTACCCCACCCCCTGCTAACCTGCCGACCTCCTCCACTCTTCCTACCTCCCCCCACAGCTATCTCCTCCTGTGCCACCATCCCCTCCCTCCTAGATTGTAAGCTCGAAAGAGCAGGGCCCTCAATCCCCTCATGTTTTGCATTGTATTGGTATTGTTCTGTCACATGTTCTGTCCCCCTTTGTAATGTACAGCGCTGAGCGAACTATTGGCGCTTTATAAATACTGTATAATAATAATAATAATAATAGGCCTTAAAATGGATCGGCTATTGACTACTTGGCGACAGAAACCACAGCATACTTTCAGATGTAGTGGAGTCCATGCCTTCACGGGTCAGGGCTGTTTTGGTGGCAAAAGGGGGACCTCCTCAATATTAGATGGGCGGTTATAAAGTTATGGCTGATCAGTGTAAGAAGCCAGAAGTGCATTCAATTCATTAAAAGGTAAATCTAAAGATAAAATCTCTTTTGGGAAGATAAACCCGTTAAAATGTTGTATAGACATGCAATTTAGCTAGGTAACCTTTCTCATAAATGTTTTTTCGGTCTGCTTCTGACAAAGCTTTGACCTTCTGGTTCAGTTTTTCTTTTTCTAACTCTGCTTCTTTCTGGTTATATTCTTTATCAGGACTCATGGTTAATACCATACTGTGCAGGTTGTTCTGAAAAGACAAACAAAGACAGCAAACAGGAGAATTACTGACTATACCAAAAGGTTGAATCCTAAATGAAGTCATATCAAAGTCCTCAGCACACATATTTAAAGTGTCATTAAACCCAAACTATGGAAACTCATTACATTAGAACAGAGTTTGCATACTCACAGACTAAAGCATTCAAGTGCCATCTAAACAAAACGAAAGCTAGTGTCAACCATCTTGACCAATCACATGTCAGTTGTAAACAATGGATGTCATTGATAGCCATTGCTTACTATTATGATCTCTGCGGGCTCTGATTGGTCACAGTGATCACATGGTAAAGGGCCAACCACAGTGGATCTGGACCATATGATAGCTGTGGCCAATCAAAGCCATCTCAATAGTAATCAATGGCGCATGAATGAATGGCTTTCACAATGTAAAAATGATTGCTTATACAGTAATGTTCACCACAATAAGCAAACAATGTAAAAAACAAAATCCTGTTCACCTGCCCAGAGCAGTACAGTGTCAATATGGTCAAAATGCACTGCTCTGCTCTCCAGTTACAGTGTCCTTGTATGCATAGGGACACTTTAGAAAAGAATGCAGAGCCCCAAGATAATGTATGCTCCTTGAAACCTCAAAAGATGCTCATTGAGGTTTGGGCCCCTCTATGCATGAAATAGTCTCACACATGTGGTATCTCAATACTTGGTAGGAGTAGCAGAAGGTAGGCCTAAGCTGTATGAGGTGAGAGAAATAACTTGGTAAAAATACAATTCTACGGAAAAAAAAAACAACAAAACACCACCACAAAATTTTAGTTAATGTCTTCATTTTCCATAAAAAGTGACAAACAAAAACACAACTCCCCATAAAAAAAACAAAAACAAAACAAACTTCTCTCTCGTGCTAATATTTTATACACGCGCGTGCGTATTGGGACGCCCTTTACACACAGATGGACTTAATGGCATCCCAGTCTTAGTCCGTAGGGTTCAATATTGAGTTGGCCCCACCCTTTGCAGCTATAACAGCTTCAACTCTCCTGGGAAGGCTGTCCACAAGGTTTAGGAGGGTGTCTATGGGAATGTTTGACCATTCTTCCAGAAGCGCATTTGTGAGGTCAGGCACTGGTGTCAGACGAGAAGGCCTGGCTTGCAATCTCTGCTCCAATTCATCCCAAAGGCATTCTATTGGGTTGAGGTCAGGATTCTGTGAAGGCCCTTCACTGGAACTAAGAGGCCAAGCCCAACCTCTGAAAAACAACCCCACACCATAATCCCCCCCCCCCCCCCGTCACTAAACTGTACGCAATGCAGTCAGGCAACCGCCAAACCCAGACACATCCATCAGATTGCCAGACAGAGAAGCATGATTCGTCACTCTGTAGAACACATCTCCAATGCTCTAGAGTCCAGTGGTGGCGTGCTTTACACCACTACATCCGACACTTTGCATTGCACTTGGTGATGTAAGGCTTGGATGCAGCTGCCTGGCCATGGAAACCCAGCCCATGAAGCTCTCTACACACCGTTGTGCTAATCTGAAGGCCACATGAAGTTTAAAAGGTCTTTAGCTATTGACTGCTGGCAACTTCTGCGCACTGTGCGCTTCAGCATGCTCTGGCCCCGCTCTGTCATTTTACGTGACCTACAACTTCGTGGCTGGGTTTCTGTTCCCAGTTGCTTCCACTTTGTTATAATACCGCCAACAGTTGACCATCGAATATTTAGTAGCAAGGAAATGTCACGGATGGACTTATTGCACAGGTGGCAACATATCACTTAAATTCACTGAGCTCCTGAGAGCGACCCATTCTTTCATAAATGTTTGTAGAAGCGCTCAGCATGCCTAGGTGGTTGATTTTATACACCTGTGGCCATGGAGGTGATTGGAACACCTGAATCCAATGATTTGGATGGATGTCCCAATACTTTTGGAGATAGATAGATAGATAGACATAATCAGTTTGCAGACTAATTTTCACACAAACTGAATACTTATACACTGATTTGGGTTATTTTTACCAAAGAAAAGAAAGCAGTTCATTTTGGCCTAAATTTCTGAACGAAGAATATTTGCAAAATTCTATAACAAACTAAGAAAAAAATAAAAAAAAAATAAAAAAATGTTGCTCCAAGCCAAAAAACGATGCTTTGAAAAAAAATAAAAATAAAGAAGAAGTTGCTGCACACTCTTCTGATGGCTGGAAGAGATGGGGGTTGTGCTGGGTGGGACTGGGAAGGACAGGGGTGGGTTTACTCATCCCTCCCGTCTTGACTGTGGGAAGCTTGCTGGTGGGAGGGAGGTGTTAGGGGTCAAAAGTGGGAGCGGGTACCTGTCAGGAAAAGTTCCACTTAAGGTCCACTTAGGCAGAATATGGCTCCCTCCTTGCCTAGGCTAAGAAGATTCATTTACATTACACAGAAGCCTGGAGTGAGAGGAACCAAAATTGATTTATACAAAAGCTACTGATTTTTTTTTCTTTTTATTCAAGTCTAAAGTGATTTTACATGAGGTGAGAGATCAATTCAGATCCTGATGTTGGAATACTTATTTTTTCATGCAAGATTTACTTTAATTTACATGTCTTCCACCTTCTCTTGTTGTCAAGATTCGCCACTTCAAATCAAATCACTTGCTGGGTGTTCTACGCTGACCATATAATCAGAATAGAGTCACAATGATGCTGCACCCTATACTGGAAATAATCTGAACAAAGCTCTCAAAACCAAGGCCTCAACAGCTGGCTTCACACCGAAGCATTGTAGTAATGCATGTCACTTTGTGTGGCTCCATTCTATCATTTAGCACGTCACATGATATACTAGGATACCAAAATGGTGCAGATAAAATGGCTGGCTTAAAGCAACACACATTAACAAAGTAACATACTGAATGTCAAGGCAGTTTTTTTTTTTTTTAGTATCCTGGAGAAAAAACAAAAAAAACAAATACTATTTGTTGTTAAGGCTCAACCCCAGGCAAATAAAAAATTAGCCCCCCTGCAAGAGTTATTTGCTATTTCCTAGGCATTTTTCATGTCTAGTGGAACAATATAGAGAAATAAAAACTTACTCAACCCTCTGTGCCTCCCTGCATCTTCTGCACCCCCATACTCCACCGGTCTATGGTTCTGACATAATCAAAACCAATAGGAAGAAAGCTCAGCCGCACACCGGAGGATAAATGAATATAGTGTGGATTTATTAATTCATAGGACACACAAAAACACCAGGACATCACAAATAGAACACAATACCCACAGTGAAGCATGGTGGTGGCAGCAACATGCTTTGGGGCTGTTTTTCTTCAGCTGGAACTGGGGCCTTAGTCAAGGTAGAGGGAATTATGAACAGTTCTAAATACCAGTCAATAATGGCACAAAACCTTCAGGCTTTTGCTGGAAAGATGAACATGAAGAGGAACTTCATCTTTCAGCATGACAACAAAAAAAAAACAACAAAGGTGATGTTTTATATAAGACAGCACTTTTGTTTTCTTTGTTATGATTAAGCACGAGATCGTCTGAAACGCGTCAACAGGTCCTGTATTCATGTCCTGGTGTTGTGTGTCCTATGGATTAATAAATACAAACTATATTCATCTATCCTCCGGTGTGCGGCTGACCCTTCTTCCTGTTGCATCGCGTGTGGTGGCGAGCCAGAGCCTGCACCTGTTGTGGATTGATCTGGATTGTTTGCCTGAGCGGTATACCTTTGTTCTTGATATAATTAAAACCTTGCCCTGCCCTGGACATGAGGACACCAAGGGACAGTCTCTCGTCGGATAGCGGGGGAGCCCCACCTGCCAGGGGAGCAGAGGATCAGACAGGTAAAAGAGTTTCTCATCCCCCCTAAACAAAAACAAGCTATTAACCCTTGCAGAGATGGCACAGCCCCATTGCAAAGAATTATTATTTTTACTTTCCCAGTGTTGGGTTTAACCCATTGTCCCCACACATTCAGAAATCCTGTTTATACACTTTCCACAAAAAAGAAAAATAAATGGTGTGAGATATTGATAATTCCAAGCCTGCACATAATTACCTGAAAATACTGCTTGACCTTTTCCTGAAGGAATGTGGGGTTCTCCTTAATAGACTGTCGAAATCGATTTATTTTCTCCTCAAGTTTCAGCAGATCATCAACCGGATCTACATCATGATTCCAGCTGGTTGATATGTACTTATTGGAACAGAAACACAAAAATTAACCTGTTTACCCTGTGTGGACTGAAGCAACTTTCACATTTCAGAAATGGACCTTCTGATAAGACGAGAGCCTGGTCATTACCTCTCACTGAAACTAAATATTTACCTATTACATATAGTGGATATAAAAAGTCTACACACCCCTGTTAAAAGGTCAGGTTTCTGTGATGTAAAAAAATTAGACAAAGATAAATCATTTCAGAACTTTTTCCACCTTTAACGTGACCAACAAACTGAAATCTTAAAAATCTGAAAAAAAGGTAGAGGGAAGTAAAAGAAAAATAATAAATATGGTTGCATAAGTGTGCACACCCTTAAACTAATACTTTGTTGAAGCACCTTTTGATTCTATTACAGCACTTAGAATCATACCCAAAATGACCATCAGTATGGCACATCTTGACTTGCAATATTTGCCCACTCTTCCTTGCAAAACACTCCAAGTCTGTCAGATTGCGAGAACATCTCCTGTGCACAGCCCTCGTCAGATCACCCCATAGATTTTTCGATCAGATTCAGGTCTGGTCTCTGGCTGGGCCATTCCAAAACTTGAATCTTCTTCTAGTGAAGCCGTTCCTTTGTTGATTTGGACGTATGCTCTGGGTCGTTGTCATGCTGAAAGATGAAGTTCCTCTTCATGTTCAGCTTTCCAGCAAAAGCCTGAAGGTTTTGTGCCATTATTGACTGGTATTTGTTCATAATTCTCTCTACCTTGACTAAGGCCCCAGTTCCAGCGAAGAAAAACAGCCCCAAAGCATTATGCTGCCACCACCATGCTTCACTGTGGGTATGGTGTTCTATTGGTGATGTGCAGTATTATTTTTGTGCCAAAACACATCTTTTGGGAATATGGCTAAAAAGTTCAACCTTGGTTTCATCAGACCATAACACATTTCCCACATGCTTTTGGGAGACTTTAAATGTGTTTTTGCAAAATTTAGCAGGGCTTGGATGTTTTTCTTCGTAAGAAAAGGCTTCCGTCTTGCCACTCTACCCCATAGCCCAGACATATGAAGAATACGGGAGATTGTTGTCACATGTACCACACAGCCAGTACTTGCCAGATATTCCTGCAGCTTCTTTAATGTTGCTCTAGGCCTCTTGACAGCCTCCCAGACCAGTTTTCTCCTTGTCTTTTCATCAATTTTGGAGGGACGTCCAGTTCTTGGTAATGTCACTGTTCCCACCATATTTTCTCCACTTGATGACAGTCTTCACTATGTCCCATGGTATATCTAATGCCTTGGAAATTCTTTTATACCTTTTTGTCTCCCGATTGACACCTTTTAAGAATGAGATCTCTCTGATGCTTTGGAAGGTCTCTGCGGACCATGGCTTTTGCTGTAGGACGCGTCTAAGAAAATGTCAGGAAAGACCTACTAGAACAGCTGGACTTTAATTGGGGTTAATCAGAGGCACTTTAAAAGATGGCAGGTGTGTACTGACTCCTATTTAACATGATTTTGAATGAGATTGCTTAATTCTGAACACAGCTACAACCCCAGTTATAAGAGGGTGTGCACACTTATGCAACCACATTATTTTAGATTTTTTTTAGGTTTACTCCTCCCCCCCCCCCCCCCCCTCCTTAAAAGATTTCAGTTTGTTTTTCAATCGAGTTGTACAGTTTATACGTCACATTAAAAAGGTGGAAAAAGGTTTTGAAATTATTTATCTTTGTCTCATTTTTTACATCACAGAAACCTGACATTTTAACAGGGGTGTGTAGACTTCTTATATCCACTGTATATTGTTAAATCATACCTTGTTTCAATGAGGACACTCACAATCTAAATTCTTAAACATTCCAGCACTCACTCCAGGGTGCTTCAAATAATATATCAATGCAAAATGCTTCCTCAGGTGCAACCCTTCACAAATTGGGGAAATTCCAGAAACATTTAAAAACATACACAATCAGTAACATGAACCAAAAGCTTGACTTCTTCAGGAGGATATAGGAGGGATGGTACATGTAAAATTATACAAGCAATTGTTATCATTCTATTATGGTGATACAGCAATATACTTCTAGTCTATACAAGGCAACGCTAGTACTCACTTCATGATCCCCCTAAAATCAGCCAAATCATATTAAAAACAAATGTGTGTTCATAAGTACTTTTCCCTGAGTGGTATTTGGGATGCTGGTACACCTTAGGTTTCCAAACCTTTGTCTCTTTAAGGGCTCATTCCCATCAGATGCAGCCCAGTGTGTTTTTAATCTGCATCAAAAAAATTACATAAAACTGTTTTTTCTGTGTGTTCCATAGGCCCTAGTTCACACCAGTGCAGTGCATTCCACTGCCGTCAACAAAATTAGAACAAGCTGCAATTTTTTCACTATGGAACATGGCAGAACGCACTGGGCCGCATGTAAACGTACTAAGAATGCACGTCCTGAATTGAGATGAAAAAAATGGAGGGGAAAAATGTACTGGAATGCATCAAAAAAAAGTGTGCAAACACGCATAAAGAAACGTGTCAGGAACATGGAAATTGTGGTGTGTACCGGCCCAAATTTGCCTAACTGGAATAAAGTGTTTTTTAGTGCTCAAAATAACAGACTTCCGTATGTATTTTTCTTGTATACAAACAGTTACAGCGTGATTTGTCCAGAAAAATAAAATGAAGGGACGCATCTGAGAGGTCCAACAATACAAATGCATAAAAACTTACATCAGCTAGCTTCATCCCGAAGCCTGTAGTTTGGTTCTTCATCTCGATTTCCTGGGTGTGTAGAACAGCTTCAATTCTTTCAGGCTCAAACCCCTTCCTATAAAACAAAGTAGTGAAGGAGCCAATCCACCAAAGCAGACCACGGAGAGTCCCTATATTTTATCTTTTGCACATATTCGTCAATTCCTAATGTTATTTTCATGGTGCTATTGAAAAATCTAGCCATTTACTTCCAATTAGTAGTTAATTTTTAAAAACTCAAGAAAAGAACCCATCTTCTTCAGGGCTTGTTCACACATGGTGACTTTCGTTTTTCTGCCCTGGATCAATGCAGGTTGCTGCTAGGGCACATAGAAAAACGATAGTTTCTATGTTCCACGTGAAAAACTGCAACGCAGTCGATAGGTGTGGTGAGCGGTGACCTGCAGGAAAATGCAGACGTTTTGGAATCGGTGGTCAGACTGTTCCACCAAGAACTGTTTAACCATTTGCCCTCCTAATTTACCCCCCTCCCTGACCTGGCCATTTTTTGCAATACGGCACAGCATTACTTTAACTGATAATTACGCGGTCATGTAACACTGTACATAAATTAAATTTATGACCTTTTATTTCCCCACAAATAGAGCTTTCTTTCGGTGGTATTTGATCACCTCTGCACTTTATTTTTTGAGCAATAAACAAAAGACTGAAAATTTAGAAAAAAAAAAATAATTTTTTGACTTTGTGCTGTAAAACATATCCAATAAAAATTTATTTTTTAAATTCGATCAAATTTAGGCCAAAATGTATTCTGCCAGATGTTTTTGCTAAAAAAAAAATTCCAATAAGTGTATATTAATTGTTTTATGTGAAAGTTATAGCGTCTACAAATGGCGGTATATAAAACTGGAATTTTTTTTTTTTTTTTTAATACTAGTAATGGCAGTGATCAGCGACTTATAGCGGGACTGCGACAGGCATTCTGACACTGGGTGGGAACTGTAACTGACATCCCAATGACACTAATACAGTGATCAGTGCAAAAAAAAAAAAAAAAAAAAAAAAAAAGCAGACACTGTACTAATGACACTGGGATGAAAGGGGTATAACCTCTGGGGCAGAGAAATACACAGCAGCATGTCCTTGCTGGCAGGAGAGACCTGTGTTGTTTACACACGTCTCTCCCATCCGCTTTCCCTGACGATCGCCAGGTGCCGGTGGGGAATCTCCGTCCGGGACCCAGTGACTGACATCCGTAGCCGCCAATGGCGGCGCATGTCTACCCCCTACCAGGAAATTCAAATCAAGTGATTTTGTGCCCTGCCGCCCTGTAGCAGTACTTCTACTATAGTTTTATTATAGGGCGGCGGGCAAGCGGTTAATTACCGTGGAAGGAAGAAGTACTCCGAGTTGTGGCATTGACCCCATGATCCCAAAAAATACATTTCCCCACTATTTTATTAATCTTCACAACAAAACCTTATAAAACACTTACTGTACAACCTCCTCAATGGTTTTAATGATGATTTCTTTCACATGTTTTACATTATCCTCAGCTACTCCTTGTACTCCGAAGCTGAAAAATGTATCTTTAGTGCCAGCGCTGAATCTGAAAACCAACAAAAGGAGGGAGACATTACATCTAAACACCTGTGCAAACACTAAGCTAATTACACTTCCAAAATGACGGATGTGCTTACCCAGTGCCTGGAGACAAAGCTGTCCCAAGCTTGGCTTCCAGTAAGGCTTTGTAGAAAGGGGAATTTGGTCCAACAACCAGCAAGGAAGACAGAAGGTTCAAAGTCAGGACTTCAAAAACATCTGTAATTCTGGTGCACATAAAAGTCCATTTTAAGTTCATTACATAGGTTACATATATGCGCATATATAGTATAGTATACGATTCACAGTTCCTTCCCCAAGAAAAAAAAAAATCTAATTCATTGGGGAACAAATTACAGTAGTTATATATAAAATAAGTATTGGACACATGACCATTTTTCTCAGTAAATACAGTTGTGCTCAAAAGTTTGCATACCCTTGCAGAAATTGTGAAATTTTGGCATTGATATTGAAAATATGACTAATCATGCCAAAAAATGCTCTTTTATTCAAGGATGGATGATCATATGAAGCCATTTATTATCAAATAGTTGTTTTGCTCCTTTTTAAATCATAACAAAAATCACCCAAATGGCCATGATCAAAAGTTTACATACCCTGGAATGTTTGGCCTTGGTACAGACACACAAGGTGACACACACACGGGTTAAAATGCCAATTAGAGGTTAATGTCCCACATCTCTGGCTTTCTAAATTGCAATTAGTGTCAGTGTATAAATAGTCAATGAGTTTGTTAGCTCTTACGTGGAAGTACTGACTAGGCTAGATACTGAGCCATGGGGATCAGAAAAGAACTGTCAAAAGTCCTGCGTAACAAGGTAATGGAACTTTATAAAAGATGGAAAAAAAGGACATAAAAAGATGTCCAAAGCCTTGAATATGCCAGTCATCACTTCCACTAAGAAGCAGAAAATTCAGGGACCTCTTGATACGAAGCCAAGTACAAGTAGACCAAGAAAGATTGTAGCCACAACTGCCAGAAGAATTGTTCGGGATACAAAAAGAAACCCATTAGGTAACCAAAAGCAAAATACAGGCTGCTCTGGAAAAAAACAGTGTGGTTGTTTTGAAGGAGCACAATATTTTTGGCATGGTCATATTTTCAATATCAATGACAAAATTTCACAATTTCTGCCAGGGTATGCAAACTTTTGAGCACAACTGTATACTTCTAAAGCTGCTATTGACATGAAATTTTTACCACATGCCGGTAACAACCCATGCAATCCATACATATAAAGAAACCAAAACAAATACGTTCCGAAATTAAGTTATGTGTAATAAAATAGAATGACACAGTTAAAAGTATTGCACACTAACCAAAATTTATTTAAAGCAGAACTTTAAGTCTTTGTTGCCGATTTCCTGCCTTCACTAAACATGTCATCCATCTTCTGGTTCACTCAGTAGTTGCTCTGAAATAGCCTATTCATTTTCAAATCAAACCAGTAATTGTCTTTAGATTCCGGTTTCTAAGACTAGTGGCTGCTATGCCTCCTACTCCCCCCAGCCACTGGTCTTGGGACATCATTTCTGTAGTTATGTCTCCAGGAAGCAGTGATTTAGTTCATCCCCACCTGCAGTGGTGGGCAAAGTGAGACTCTCAGACACGTTCAACATGTGCAGGCCTAGTGTACCCGCCCACATTCATGGTTCCCTGTGGTTGGTGGGAACTGTAGTTTCCTTTCACTGCAGAGAGAGAGCGGATATGATGTAATCCCGGCTGTTACACTTTTACTCCTTGGCAGAACAGATGAGGTCATGAAAATTCAATTAGACTTTTTCTCCAAAACGGTAAGGAATTTCAAAACTGTATTATCAGTTTAATATTTTGTGTAGGGGGTTGTATTAATTGGTGATTTTATTTTGGCATTCTAGGAGTTCTTGTTTAACAAAATCATCTGGCAATAATGATAGCTTCAAGACACCTCCTGTATGGAGAAATTAGTCGCATGCATTGCTCAGGTGTGATTTTAGCCCATTCTTCCACACAGTCTTCAAATCTTGAAGCTTCTGTGGACCTCTATGAACTCTGGATTTTCTATTGGATTCAAGTCAGGTAACTGGCTGGGCCATTCTAGCAGCTTTTTTTTCTTTGAAAACAATTGAGTTTCCATGGCTTTGTGTTTGGGATCATTGTCTTGCTGAAATGTCCACCCTCGTTTAATCATCCTGGCAGATGGCAGCAGATTTTTATCAAGAATATTTTGGCACATTTTCCCCATTCATCCTTTCTTCAATGACATGAAGTCTGCCAGTACCGTATGCTGAATAACAGCCCCACACCATGATGTTCCCACCTCCAAATTTCACTGTTGATATGGTGTTTTGGGGTGACGTGCAGTGTCATTTGACCTCCAAACATGGTGTGTATTATGGCATCTAGAGTTCAATTTTGAATTGTTAAATCTTACCAGACTATATTCTCCCAGTATTTCACCGACTTGTCTAAATGTTGTGCAGCAAAGTTTAAACTAGCTTCAACATGCTTTTTGTTCAGGAGTCTTGTGTCAGGCCATGGAGGTTGAGTGCATTACTTATTGTTTTCTTTGAAACAATTGTACCTACTAATTCCAGGACTTTCTGAAGCACCTGGTCATGGACAGTTTATGGTGAAGTGATGTTTTTTCCACTTCCAGATTAAGGCCCAAACAGTGCTCACAGGAATGTTTAGAAATCCTTCTGTAACCAATGCCATCAGTAGGTTTTGCAATAGTAAGGTTGCAAAGGTCTTGAGAGTAATGGGAAACCTTTTTATATGCCATCAGTTGAGACTGAACCAGCTGATTTTGCACTGAAAATGATTACTGATAGATTTCAGCTGGAGTCTTGGCAATCCATGTCCTTTTGCTCCTCCCTTTCTTCATGTGTTCAATACTTCTTCCCTGTGTCATTGCATTTTAGTACACATAAAACTTAATTTCTGAACTTATTTGTTTTGGTTTCTTTGTATGTATGGATTGCATGGGTTGTTACCGATATGTGGTGAAGATTTCATGTCAATAGCACCTTTAGAAATATATTTACCTAGAAAAAAAGGTGACATGTTCAATACTCATTTTACCTGTACCTGTTACCAGTACCTGCTGTATGTATGTGTATATTATATATATATATTATTATTATACACTGCTCAAAAAAAAAATTAAAAAGGAACACTTTGAAAACACATCAGATCTCAATGGGGAAAATATCATGCTGCATATCTATACTGATCTGCACTGGGTAATGTGTTAGGATTGTAAGGATGCCCCATCGTTTGATGGAAATTAAAATTATCAACCTACAGAGGACTGAATTCAAAGACACCCTGAAAATAAAATGAAGAAATGTAGCAGGCTAGTCCATTTTGCTGAAATTTCATTACAGCAACTCAGAATGGTACTTAAGTGCTTGTATGCATGCCTGACAACGTCGGGGCATGCTCCTGAGACGACGGATGTTGTCCTGGGGTATTTCCTCTAAGATCTGAACCAGGGCACCACTGAGCTCCTGGACAGTCTGAGGTGCAACCTGGCAACGTCAGATGGACCAAAACATATCCCAGAGGTGTTCTATTGGACTTAGGTCAGGTGAGCGTGGGGGTCATTCAATGGTATCAATACCTTCATCCTCCAGGAACTGCCTGCATACTCTCGCCACATAAGGCCGGGCATTGTCGTGCACCAGGACACACTGCACGTGTGTAGGGACTGACAATGGGTCCAAGGATTTCATCCTGATACCTTATGGCAGACAAGGTACCATTATCTAGCCTGTAGAGGTGTGTGCATCCCTCCATGGATATGCCTCCCCAGACCATCACTGACCCACCACCAAAACGGTCATGCTGAACAATGTTACAGGCAACATAATGTTCTCCTCGGCTTCTCCAGACCCTTTCACGTCTGTCACGTGCTCAGGGTGAACCTACTCTCATCTGTGAAAAGCACAGGGCGCCAATGGCGGACCTGTCAATTCTGGTGTTCAATAGCAAATGCTAATTGAGCTCTATGGTGCCAGGCAGTGAGCACAGGGCCCACTAGAGGACGTCGGGCCCTCACACCACCCTCATGAAGTCTGTTTCTGATTGTTTGGTCAGAGACATTCACACCAGTGGCCTGCTGGAGGTCATTTTGTAGGGCTCTGGCAGTGCTCATCCTGTTCCTCCTTCCACAAAGAAGCAGATACCAGTCCTGCTGATGGGCTGAGGACCTTCTACGGCCCTGTGCAACTCTACTAGAGTAACTACTTTTTTCCTAGAATCTCCTCCATGCTCTTGAGACTGTGCTGGGAGACACAGCAAACCTTCTGGCAACCTGCAAACTCTGTAGTGTCCAGATATCACTTCATGCTACCAATAGTGACACTGACCCTAGCCAAATGCAAAACTAGTGAAAAACAGTCAGAAAAGATGAGTAGGGAAAATGATGTCAGTGGCCTCCACCTGTAAAACCATTCCTGTTTCGGGGGTCATTGTTGCCCATCTAGTGCACCTAGTGTTAATTTCATGAACACCAAAAGCAGCTAAAACTGATTAACAAACCCCCCTGCTACTTAACTGACCAGATCAATATCCCAGGAGTTTAATTGACTTGATGCTATACTCTGATTAAAAAGTGTTACTTTAATTTTTTTGAGCAGTGTACACACACACACACCCCGTGCAAAAGTTTTAGGCAGTTGTGAAAAAATGCTGTAAATTAAGAATGCTTTCAGAGATAGAAATGTTAATAGTTCCTTTTTATCAATTAAAATGGAAAGTAAGTGAATCAAATTAATATTTGGCAAGACCACTGTCTTCAAAACAGCATCAATTCTTCTAGGTACACTTGCATACAGTTTTTGAAGGAACTCGACAGGTAGGTTGTTTCAAACACCTTGGAGAACTAACCACAAATCTTCTGTAGACGAAGCCTGCCTCTAATTTTTCTGTCTCTTCCTGTAATCCAAGACAGACTCCATGATGTTGAGATCAGAGCTCTATGGGGGCCAAACCACCACTTCCAGGTAATGGTCCTGCTGCAGAATAAATTTTGGGCGATTCGCACACCTCCCTGATTGTATGGAATGATGGATATCTACCTGTCTGTATTTCTCAGCATTGAGGACACACATCATTGATCCTGACCAAATCAACTCCATTTGTAGAAAATGCAGCCCCATACTTGCAAGGATCCTCCACCATGCTTCACTGTTGCCTGCAGACACTCATTATTGCACTGCTCTCCAGCCCTCTGTGAACAAACTGCCTCCTGCTACAGCCGAGTATTTAACATTTTGGACTCTTCAGTCCAGAGCACTGCTGCCATTTTTCTGCAACCCAGTTCCTATGTTTCTACACTGAAGGTTTGGATTTTTGGCTGCAATTTAGACCACTTCTGTTAAGAATTCTCCAGACAGTAGGTGGGTGTACCTGGGTCCCACTGGTTTCCATCAGTTCTGTGCTGATAGCACCGCTAGACATCTTCTGATATCGAAGGGAAGCATGATGTGTCTTTCAACTGCTTCATTAAGTTTCCTTGGCTGACCACTGTGTTTACACTCAACGCTGCCTGTTTTTTTGAGCGTCTTCACAAGAGCTTGATGAATTGAATTGATGCTGGTTTGAAGCCAAAAGGGTAATCACACCAAATATTGATTTCATTAGATTTTTCTTGTGTTTGCTTACTCTTTTAATTCAACTAAATCCACAGTCACATAATACTCCAGTTCCTAGTCTTCATTCTTGTTCTGTTTGCAGGAGTGGGGTCCATTGTTCGGGTGCCCCACCACTGCCTATTCCTACTGGCTGTCCAGCGTCCTCCTGAGATCCATATAAGAAGTTTCAGCGGTGTTGTCAACATTAGGAGACTGACAACACTGGATTACTGGTCCTCCATATCCAGTAACCATGCTAGCGAGGGACCTGGACAGCAGATTTAGATGACCAAAACATGCTCCAGAAGGTAACAAAAAAGTGCTGATAGCCGAGAGGTTTTCATTTTTAAAAGACAATGTTGCACAGAGCAAATCAGTACCTAACACGCTTTAAAATTGTGCATGCCAATGGAATAGCGACAAACTACGGTACATTAAGTTATCCATAGGCAACGCTTTAAAAGCCTTTACAGGCTATTAGTTTACAGTTAAACAGGAGGTCTGATGCTAGAATTATTGCTTCCATTCAGACATTCGCACCAATACCTTACACATGTGGTGCAATCACCGTTTACATATGCGTGCGGGACCTATGTATGCATTTGCGAGACCCCTCTTCATCTCTATGGTTAGCTGGTGCGACCACCCACAGTGCCCCCAAGCTCTCCAGAGAGACATGAGAGCCCGGAAACTGTGCGACACAGCGGGGTGGGGGGCCCCCCCCTCCTGCCTGTAGAAGTGATTGGGCTGCCGTTGAGACACTTGGATCACTTTTAGAAAAAAAGTGCTGGCCCAAAAGAATGAGATCGGAATCCAGCCATGATCCTTAAGTCACCACCACTTCCTGAGGTGACACTAAGTATAGTATACTGTGCATTCATAAAACAGTATACATACACCCACACACGTCGGTTGGGAAGTGGTTAATGCATTTTACATCTGCCTTTCAAGCAGTACGCTATTTCTTCTATTGAAAAAGTTTGTACAGTTTTAGGCCTCACATAGAGCAGCTCAAAGAAGCTGCTCTAACAGCCGTTTGAGCTTTTTTTTTTCCCCTCTACCTGGTAACTGCCCTCCATTTTAGCCTGTGTGTCCATGAACACTATAGGAGTTTTCAAGCAGAAAAAAACAAAAACACACCACACACGAAGAGTTTTTGAGCATAAAAAAAAAAAAAAAAAAAAAAAAAAAAAAAAAAAAAACAACTGCTCAAAAAGTGAAGAAAGCACGTGTTAATGCATTCTGTTGGCCAGAATTCTGGCGATTAGAATGCATTAATGCCAGGCGCAGGAACAAGCATTAAAACGCATACAAAAAAAAAAAAAAAAAAGCTTTTCACCACGTTTTTTGATTCTAAAAACTCCTGTAGCTCAAAAAACTTTTTTGAGCTCCTCAGTGTGCATGAAGCCTTAGCAAATTTAGATACTTACTCAGTCGTCAGAAAGGTAATGCTGACCATCGTCTGTTTGGTTGGATCTGGTGCAAGTGCGTCTACAGCACAGGTGGTTTGATATTCTCTCTGTAAAGTACAGACTGTTTTAATATCCTGTTTCTAAGCAAACTGTAAATAAGGTGGCACTTAAAGTGTGGCACTAATACAAGTGACACTCAAACGGACCTGTACATGGTTTGCGCCAAGGCTCCCAACAAAAATATACTGAATACCATCAATACATAAATACAATTATCAGAATACAACACTATTTCCAAAGTAGCTCTTCAAGAAAACACTAACCGGTGCATCCCAGTGCTTCTGTGCAGAGACATCAGCTTGGGGGTTTATGCGCTTAAACTTGGCCAAGGCATCGTCATTGATCTGTTGTAAATGCTGCTCCAAGGGGATATCACCATATGTAAGGAACCTGGAAAATGAACACACCTTTACTATTCATGAATTCAGCGTTATTAATTCTGGTAAAACAACGTAAAAACAAGCAAATATACAGCATACTTGCTACAGGTCCTATACAGTCATATTAGCATTTTGTCATAGTCCATGGGGAATTTATGGGCCATTTATGTACTTGCACTGAAATTATTGTTATGTTGCCTATAGCATGCAGATTCCTTGCGTGTTCCAGTAGCATCATGGGTAACATACGGTCTACTGCCGAGGGGAGAAAAAAAAAAAAAAAAAAAAAAAAAAAAAAAAAAAAAAATCGGGCTGAGTGTTCTCAGCCATTCAGAAGTTTTTTTGCTTTTTTTTTAATCTATAGATACAAGGCTTCTACTGACTGGCCGAGTTGGAGAGGCAGGCAGATGAGTTCATGATTTCTATCTTAGCCAATCAGCAGAAGACTTGTATCCATTTATATACACAGAAGGGTTCCACTGAATGGATGGACTTGGCCTGACTTTATTTTGTTTCAGCAGCAGACTGGTAGTCGCTTGTAATGCTGTGGAACGCCGCACTGTATGTAGTATGTAGGTGATGTTACTACAGTATAATACAGCACTGACAGCTGCAGAATAACTTGGATAGAAAACGATTTTCTGGTTAACATTACTCCATACCGTGAAGCAAACAGGACAGGCAGGAATAACAGCCCCAGTGTGACGACTCTGCACCTAAGGCTGGACTTCCACCATTATGCTTCATTGCTATATTCCAGAAACACATCATCTAAGGCTATGTTCACACTTGTGCAATGCGTTTGTGCGCACATGTTGTGGGTACAGCAGCCCATTTATTTGAATGCAGGTAAGGAAGTCCCGGGACTTATTTTTTTTTTCTTTTTAATTATGCTGCACAGAAATGCATGGTGCTGGGGTTCCCTGGAGTGAAAATATGGGCATTCTACCAATGCGAATAGGTGTCATTAAAAAATGTATGGCTCCCCTACGCATCTGCTGAAGAGCAGCGCAATTTGCCTGCAGGTCCGGAACGCACACAACACAAAAAAAAGAGCAAAACAATTAGCACCTCAGAGCATAAAGAGAGACACATAGTAACTGTGAGAGGTTCCATTCCTACACATTCTCATTTCGTGGCGGGGGAGGGGGGAGAGATGTTTTTTGCAATTTGGGCATTAAAACTGAATGCCAGCTTGTTTTGGCTACTCACCTGTACTGAAAGTGCTTACTCTGATTTTACTGCACACTGTGAGCTTCTGCAGCCTGCTTTACCCATTCCTCCAGACTGACACCCACTCATCAAGGCATTTGATATTTGCAAGACTTCTCCCAAGAGCCAGCCCACTTCAGGATAGAGGGCTCTTGGGATAAGTACTAAGCACAGCACTCTGCTGCCCTCTACCACCAAGCTACCTGCTGCACTGCATAGAGAAGCACAGAGACCCGGTGATGAAATCAGAGAGGATTGATTAAAAAATATGTAAACCCAACATTTATTATTCCTGATATATGCCTGCTCTACCATGTACTTGTAAGAAAAAAAGTATCCTGTTCTGTTTGTATTGCTTCCTTTGTGTGAAATCTCTAGTTTTCCTGCCGGTCTCTCTGCTTTCCTATTAAGAACTTACCACACTAGGCATGACAGCACAGCATGGTCAGTTCTCTAACTGTGCTGGGAACTCCATGTGCTCTCCTGCAATGATCAGACTTGTCCTGACATGCCCCCTCCTTCACAGCCATTCACTGGGAAGATCGCTGCTGTTTCTCCACCCTCACCTCTATGCAGCGAAGAACAGAGGATATGTCAACGCTTATAAAAAAAAGGGGGGTGGGGAGAAGTATTTTGAATTTTTTTTTTTAATATCTATCTATACACAAACATTTACCTTTCATTTATATTTTAAAGTGGAAGTTAACTCAATCTTTTGTATCTTTTACCTACAGATAAGCCTTTAAATAAGGCTTACCTGTAAGTACTGTAAATATTTTCTAAACATGCACGGTTTTAGGAGATATGTACTGTAGAAGCGCCGGGGAAGCCACAAGTGCGCACTGCACTCTCAATGGACGGCGTGTCGTCCATTGAGAGAGCTGTGCTACGGCTGAAATTCCCACGCACATACACACACATCGCAGCTCGGCCAATCAGATGGCCGCAGATTGCGCACCCCATAAGGAAAACTGGGTGAAGATGGAAGTTTTGGGGAGCAGTGACAGCGCTCCACTGGAGGGCTTCATTTTCAGGTAAGTATTTCATAATATGCTACTATGCGATGCATACTAGCACATTATACTCTTAACTTGCAGGGAGAAGATTTTTTAGATTTTGTTTTGTTTTTATGAACGTTTTAAACTGAATGGGTTGTTTGACAAGGTGAGGGTTTACATATACTATAAAAAAGGTCATTAGCATGTTGATGAGGGAGAACAAAAGGCAAATATAAGCAAATTAAACTTTAGCATTAAGCGAAGGAGTTACTGAAATCAATACAAAGAACTTCTCTGTCTCAAAGAGAAATAAAAAAAAAACAAAAAAAAAACAAAACAAAAACAACCTTTTGCATCTTTTACCACACCCTAGAGACCACTATGCAGGTTAAGGCCTCATTCACACCACGGGGCAGAGGAGTCAGTTTTTCTGCAAGCATACTGCAGGGGCTCAAAAGAAAAAAAGAATTGCTCTCTACATGCCTTGTTCACATCACAACACTGGTATCATGTGCAGATTTATTCTACGCACATATCTGAAAAAAAAACTGACATGACATCAACATTGTGGTGTGAACAGGGCACATAAAAGACAGGGATGAAAACAAATGTCAATGTGCATAAAAAAAATAAATAAATCACTGAAATGAGCAGAAAAAATGGATGTAAACTCGTGCCTCTGCAAGTGAAAACTGCATGTTTTTTTCACCACTCTTCTGCACATATGGTGTGAATAAAGGCCTTAAAGCAGAGTTCCACTCACCTTGTCAAAAAATAAAAGTCAGCAGCTACAAAAAACTGTAGCTGCTGACTTTTAAAAAACAGCCACTTACCTGTCCCTCGTTCCCGTGGTGTGTCCCCCGCAGCCCGTTTCACCGACCGTCCTGTATTCCAGGAGGCCGGCATCTTCAGCGTGGGCATGCGGCTCTGATAGCTTGCGGCTTCAGTAGTAGTGCTGCGCTTCATGAATGGTCCCTATAGTCTTCTGGGACCTGTCACGTGTCCCAAAAGACTACAGGGAAGGAGGGAAGGAGGACACTTCCGCTTCCAATCGCCTAGGTAATCGGACCGGAAGTGGGAGGGGGTAACTGTCAAACTCGGGTACCCGCTCCCCAAAAGGTGCCAATCAATGGGGAGCGGGGGAGCAGTCCTTAAAGCGGAACTTCCCCTTTTGGGTGGAGCTCTGCTTTAAAAGCGCAAAGCGAAACCTACTACTGGGAACTCATAAGAGCAGAGTTTCTTCTCTTTGCTCAGTCTTGGCATGCTGCAGGAGATGATGCAACACAAAGAATCAAATTCAAATTCCTAAATCCCTGCATGTGTAGCTGGCAGTTACAGGACTGAATAACATTGCTTTCACAAGAGATGCACTATTTCCCAGAATTATAACAGACTCACATTTTGCAGCTATTAAGGATAAAAGCAGCCCTTTGCAGTTTTCTTCAAGCATTTACAGTTTTTCCCTTAAATGACTAAAATTCCTGAATATAAAATAATGTTAGCAAAAATTCTGCCATACTGTTTTGATGGAGTAAAACTGGAAAAGAGCCGCAATCCCACAAACATCTGTTTGTTTTTCCCAATACCATCCGTTAACTCCCTCCCTGACATTTTTATCCAGCTTTTCTTCACTGATCGATCTAACTTTTTATTCTTCTCTGGTTCGACTTTTCTATTTCTAAAAATTCTCTCTACAAGTAAAAATACACAGAAAAGTAAAAATAGTCCTTCTAATTCACACAGCACCACCCATACATAATAGATGACCAGCCATAATAAACACATACATGGAATAGAGGAAGTGCAAGAGACATAAATAAAGCTGCCAAAATAGTAGCTGTTGAATCTGGCAGATACATGAAATGATGTTAGGAATTGTTAGTCGGACAAAGGACTGTCACACTTTACAAGCTGCTGGACAGATAATCTTTCGTCTAACTCCAACCTTTTCAATAGCGAGGTACACGGAAAGAATACATTTTAAGCTAATGAAACTAGTATAGCAAGTAAAAAGACAGAGAAAAAAAAAATGTACAATCTGCTAAAATATATATATTAAAAAAAAAAAAAAAAAAAAAAAAAAAAGAACAGTGGTCTAGACGGTGGACATAGTTATGAATCTCCTAAACACAATTGTAAGGCTCTACGGTTTTAAGCTTTACTCTGTAAGCTGTCCTCCATACAAAAAAATATTTAACCACTTGCCTATCGGGCACTTTTACCCCCTTCTTGCCCAGGCCAATTTTCAGCTTTTAGTGCTGTCGCACTTTGAATAATTGTGCGGTCTTGCAACACTGTATCCATATGAATTTTTTTCACACAAATAGAGCTTTCTTTGGCGGTATTGAATTGCCACTGTGTTTTTGTTTTTTTTTTTTGCACTATAAACAAAAAAATAAATAAATAAAAAAAGCACAATATGTTGAAGAAAAAAAAAAAATAAGGTTTACTATTTTTCTATTATAAAATTGAGCAAAGAGGTACATTTCCTCATCACTGATGTGCGTTGATGAGGCTGCACTGATGGGAATTTATGAAGAGGCACGGATGATGCTGATGGGTGGCACTACTGGGAACTTTTGGGGTTGCACTGATAATAATCAGTGCAGATGTCCTCTGTGACAGTTGCTGGTTATTGGCAGCACTTTCCTCATGTTGTCACATGACGCCCTCCCAGAACAGGACAACCTCACTGTAGACGTCATTCGGCTATAGCGCTGTTGTAAAGTTCATAAAAGAGGTTCGTCACCCTGTTTGGGTAAGAAAAAAAAAAAAAAAAAAAAAAAAAAAAAAAAAAAAAAAAAAAAAAAAAGCTAGCGGCTTTTAATAAAATAGACATTCACCTGTGCAGGGATCCAGTGCCATCCTCACCTGAACCGGTTGTTAGGTCCTCGGTGCCAGCATGTTTACTGTGGGCAATGGGCTGCAATTCCTTAAGGCTTCACAACCAGCTTACCACTGTGCATATGCGAGCCGCACTGTGCTTTCTGAATGGTCCTGCATCCCTCTGGGACCTGAGGGGGGGAAGCGATCCGACCGAAAGCCGGAAGTGGGAGCAGGTACATGTCAAAACCAGGTAACCCACCACCCCCCCCCCCCCCCAAAAAAAAAAAAAAAAAAAGGTTAACTAAAAAGGGGGGGGGGGGGGGGGGGACGACACATAAAGCATAGCTTTTCCTTTAGGGTGAAGTTCTGCTTTACGACAGCAAAGAGAAAAAATTAAAATGATATGTCACAGAAATAACTGGACGACATAAGGCAGAATTCTCTTGAAGACAGAACACAAGGAGGAAAAAAAAAAAAAAAAAAAAAATAGAGTTTAGCTAATTTCTTTTTTGTACTGTAGGGGGTATACATGGATAGACTTGGTCTAGAAAAAATGGCCACCGCCATCAGAGGATGAGTGTACAATCCGTAACGGATGGACTTAAAGCGGAACTACACTGTGTTAGAGCACCACAACCCAAAAAATGCCATTTAATCCATTTTTACTTTTCAAAACATACTTTATTTTGCGGAGAGATCACTTTGAAAAACACCTCCTAGCATTTTTGGCCATGGCCATCTTGAGTAAGGGCAGATGACTCCTGTAGCACTTCCTGGAATTCCTCTGCCCTTAGCTCAGACATGCAAGGAGGAGGGTATGCTTAGAGAAAATCCCACCTCCCCTCATGGAAAGCAAAATATGACCTACTTTCCTATGTATTTACTATTGCTAGCAACATAAGAATTAAAAACAGTCAGACAGAGAGTGACGTTCCACTTTAAATCTGCAGGCAGCATCAGATATAGTCTTTGGGTATAATAAGTTTGCTGACGCACATTTTTCTTAGATGCCATTTTAAAGACGTCTTCGGGAAGAAAGAGGGAATAGTTCCAGCATAAGGAAAAGTCTTGGAGCTGACAAAGTGGCAGTAAAAGATAAACAATGGCGCATTAAGACATCTGTCCCCTGGTACTGTACCTGGCATTGCTTGGGTGATAGTGAGTGGCATGGAAGTGTTTTAACTGCTCCCATGTTAGATTTGGAATGTCTAGTGGATCTCCTCCAGACACAAAAGAGTATGTACCCTCAGGAAGAACTTTGTTTTGTAGCCGCTGTAAATACACTCTTTGATTATCTGTCTAATGGAAAATGTAAGAGAGAAAAAAAAAAAAAAAAAAAATATCACAGGTTACAATTAATCACAAGGTGATAATCGAAACAGCAAACATACAAGCAAAGATGCAGGTCAAACACACAACTAAAGCCACAGATGACAATGTAAACTGCTATGGCCTTCAGAAACACAAAGGGACCAGTAAGGTGGAAACAATAAATCATAAACAAGTTGTGTCAGTGCTGGTGTCTACACTTTGCCAACCTAATATAAGGAAACCATTGATGGCATGGCATATTTTGGACACTGATAAAGTAGGCATTCATTGTTGGTAATACTTTGGTTATGAGGATATTTAACTGCCAAGGTGACAGTATAAGGGCTAAGTGTTGGGGGCAGTTAAGACTACACGCCCAAGGGAGCCAGGTCCAGCCTCAATGCCAGCAGCCTGTCAAAAAGTTGACTACGAGACCATTCACAAGATGCAGTGCTGCTCACGCAGTGGGCACCCGGCTGTGAAGGTGCAAGCTGCCACAGCTGGTGTGCCTACACTTACAATGCTGGAGCCAGGGAGGTTGAACAGCTGGTGAAACTGGCTGCAGGGAGGACACCGCTTGATCGGGGACAGGTGAGTGGCACACACACCAGTGGAAGGTCTATTTTTACGCAGTATGTTTTATGTCTTGGAGAACAGAGGATATACTTCTGGAAGTATGTTTTCACAGCGGTGGATTATAAGGAAAAGTTTAAAATTTATTGTTTTTAGTTTTGTTCATTTTAACTGAGGATTCCTTATATGGACTCTTTTTTTTTTTTTTTTTTTTTTTTTTTTTTTAAGAGAGATTAGACTTTCTATCCTAATCACTTTTCTGCTATAGTTTTTACATTATTTGTGCTTTTTGTGTGATTTATACTAATGCTTTGTCTATCCATTCACATATTGTGCGAAGGATTCCCAACTTAATCATACTGTTAACAAATAGGTCACCGGGCTGAAACAAGCTTGGAGATAGGGATCTCTATTTTTCACAATGCTTACTTGGTGGAGGGTCAGGATGACAGCCTTATGTTAGATACACAAGGAGAGTTTTTTTTTTTTTTCACTCAACCAAACAGGCTGAACGACAAAAAAAATCTAAGAGGTCGCTGTGCTAAGTGATGTTCCCTACTGATCTATTGTGTTGTGACAAGGGGACTGCCCCCCACATGAATACATTGATCAGTGCTCGCAGCCATTGGCTACAAGTGCTGATCGGCTGCTTGTTTTCCAGTATGATAAAAAGGTGGTTGTAAGGACCGGATTCTGTTGGACAGGACACTGTATACAGGCCAAATGTTGCCCAGTTTCTGTTGAACCAGCCGACATGCAGCCTTTAGAATCAGCACCTTTTAGTAAAGTCAGCTCCCATATTTCTGATTTCACAGGTTTACTTTAAAAGATACACTTCACTACACTACACAGATATTACAGAACATGAGAAGATCACTTACCATTACCCCCTTCATCTCATTAAAGACAACTCCTTTGAACATTAAGGGAGAATTGGGATCAGTGGGGTTTTCATGTTCTAATCTCCATCCTTCTTGCCTGAAATAAACAAAAAGAAAATTCACTGAGCACTGATCACCATTTATAAATCAAAAGTATAAATTACTTTGGTATGTCAACATGCATTACCAAAAGTCCAGTTCTCTAAGGAATGGAAAAAACACAGCATCTAAATAGACAGACAGAAGATTCTGGAAGTCCTTTGGGTTTTGAGTAGAAAATGGGTACATGGTGTAATCGCTTGCTGAAAAACAAAATTCAAAATCAACAGAAGGATTAGGATTTATGACTCTGTGCTATCCTGACCTGTGCTTGCTCTAGGATATTTATTTCAGTAAGGTGCTTAGTCTCACTTGCTACAAGAACACTGCTACCAATTTCTAAGGTCACTAAACTGCCTGGGGAGGCACAGGGGTTCTCTTCCTGTCACAGCCATCCTCCAGTTTTTGTGTTTACAGTGGAGCGTGAGGGCCAATCAATGTAACTGTGAAAGCATCCCATGAAGATTAGAAGTTAATATCCAAACTGATAATTCATTAAATAGCCTTTATACATGATCATTTAAACTGACTGTATGTAGTGTTCCATAATTACCTGTGAAGGCATTCATAAATGTAGCCAAAGACCGATTTTGCATCTTGAAGAAAGGGTCACGGCACGGATATTTCTCGGAGCCGGCCAGAACTGTGTGTTCCAGGATATGCGGGACACCGGTGCTGTCCATAGGTGTTGTCCGGAATTGCACACTGTACAAGTGACACAAACGTGTATTGGATCAGGAAAGTGTTTCAATGTTAAACATAAAACCGCAAACCATACTGAAAAAATCAGACACATTATTTCCAAACATCAGTATCCTTTTCACATATATGTAGATTGGATGCAGTTTGAACCACATCTAATCTGCATAACATGTGAAATAACATTGCTTCCTGTGGTGCCTGTTCACATATGTCCGGTGCACTGGCAGTGTGGATTCAGTATGGATTGAAAGAGTACTGTCCAATTTCTCAGCAGTGCAGTTCGGTTCAGATGCGGATTACAGGCTCATTGGCTTCTATAGGAACTGGTTCTAAATTGCACATGCCGTGAGTTAGTGAACACAATTTCATACCGGTTTTCTCTCTGGATCCTGATATAAACCTGACCTGAACCACTGAACAACTACTTTGGATGTCAATTAGCTGTGAAAACGGAGCTTCAATTCGCATCCACACTTACTGGAGCTAATGAATATCAAGCTACAGGCCTTTGCAAAACTGCGCATGAGGAAAAAACACAAGGCACAAAAGGCAGTAATCTAGGAGAAACGAATTAGAATTTACTGTACTAAAGCCAGACCTGTATAAAAAGGAGTTCTTATTTGTTGCCAGATTAGATATATACACGTTTCTTAAAATATACCAGATGATTAATATAGAGTTCAATGGACTACTAATATTAATAAAAGACAGTTCAATCATTTACTCAATTAACCTCAAAAGAGTTTGTCAGATTGAAAAGTTCCCTGCCAGCATGCTGTAGAGAAGGACCACTGCTCTCTTGAAAGGTCTGACATACTCCCTGCAGATTAGGGAAGTATAATTCAGCAGAAGTTGTGCTTTTTTGGAGTTGCTCTGACCCAGTCGTCTACCCATTACAATTTGACCCTTGTCAAAGTCAAAGTCATTCAGATCCTTACACTTGCCCATTTTTTCGGCTTTTATCAGATTCAGGGAAAACATGTCTACTTGTTGTCTAATATATCCCACTCACTTTTAGATACCATTGTAACAAGATGATCAGTGTTATTCTCTTAATATAATTGCACCATAGAGAGATTACTGACTGCTTCTACACAAGGGTCCTTCCCTGCAGAATGCTGGCAGATAACAAGCCTTTAAACTGAGGCTGTGGCTGCTTTCCAATGAAACAGACAGATACACCTTATGAACACCTTTAATTTTGAATGTATTTAACTATTTTAGGATTGGCTTACGACGGACTAGCACCCCTTCTGTCTGAAGGCTGTTTTTTTTTTTGCACCTGCATGCGCCCTGAGCTATGCACATACAGCTTACAGAGGTGAATGCACATACAGCGTTTGCATGGGCACAGCCACGTCAAAATTTTACAGCCTTCCAGGAGCAGTTAAAGTCATGATGGGATTTCGTTTCCCCTCTCTTCCCATCCCAGATACAACAGGAACTGAGTAAAAGTTACTCCAAAGTCAGAGGAAATCCCCCACCAGGGACACCTGTTTGGGTGACAACTAGAGGATGCATCTTGTCCTCTATAAATGTAGAATTTTCAATCATTTCTGTCTGGGTGACAATGGTCGTTAAAACAGCAAGCCTGGATCTCACCAACAGGGACACAGACAGAAAAAAAAAAAAAAACACAAACTGGTGGAGGTTCTAACCCTTTTCTACTCTAGGCAAAAATAAAAGAATGGCTAGAGAATCTACTTTTATCTCAATTCCCACTTGCAGACTAAACGCACACACTGCTCAGTACAAGGGTTGTATTCACATTCAATCTGTCAAGAAAGGGCAAAATCCAAAAGACAGCTGTGAGAGTTTTCTTAGCACTGGTTCAAATGCTGACTAGTTTAAACCGTTAGTAGTAAAAAGGCTGGTGCCTTATGAGCTGTCACGATCACGGCGTCAGACCACAGCCCTTCTCACTAAACTCGTGACCGAAGGACTAACCGATCTAAAACCGCGATGTCACGTGCGTAACAATGCCCCCACCCAGCTGCACCCTGCACAACGATTGTCCAGCTAATTGGACCACAATCGATGTACCGGCAGCCTGAGCGATTGTTACTGGGTCAGGTTAATTATGCAATTAACCCTTCACACTACCACCACCTCCTTTTTCTACAGAGAAAGAGGAAACTCGGCAATATCAGCTAACACACTATAATGGTTGAGATAATTGTCTGCATAATACGGTCACCGCAGACAGATTATGCGGAGAGTTAAACACAGTAGCGTTCTCTTTAGAGGCAGGAATTCGTAAATTGCCATAAAGTGCTATAGAAACAGTTCAAAACTTTCAGAAGGAAAGAATTATTACTAAAAGGTCAAAAGGGTGCAATAAAAATATTTACAGAAAAAAAAAAATGTAACTTATATATATATATATATATATATATATATATATATATATATATATATATATATATACACACATACATATATATATAAATATACAGAGACTAACAGCACAGCAAAAAGATATCAGAGAGAGGTGAAAGGGTTAAAGATACTTGCCAAAGTCCTGGGTCAGCAGATCCAAGTTTCAGAGCGAGAGGGCACGGGTCTCCCAGGTGGTACTGATGTTAAAATGGGAGACGTCTTCAACTTACACTCTTAGGCCTGACAGCCTATTTTGTAGTCCCTAGCAGGGGGTGTCTCTGAAGTCAAGGACCAATACCCCGTTTAGGGCGTGGAGGTCTGGGTGTGGACCTAAACTAGAGCCAAAATCTTTCCTAACTCAGATTTTGGCTCATAACTCTTCATATGCACCAGTGACATTCCACCCATGGGTAGATTATTATGCAGACACGTCTGAGAATTGATTAGATATGAATTGTGAAATTATACACTGAACAGTTCACGAGATATATTTTTCGGCTTTCCTATGAATTCGAGACACGGCGAGTGACCTATCAATTTGTTCAGCTTCTATTAGCCAATCTGACGATATGTCCGGTTTTTTATGTAAGTCTCTCATATTTCAAGATATGAGACATAGGGGAAAAAATGGATTTTTAAAAGTATAAGCTGGTCCCGCCTTCCTTGGAATGTCTTGAACTCCAGGGAAAGCTTGCCTTATCTTATACGAGGTGTTAAATTGCACAGGTTATTGGACAGCTAGGCCCAGGCTCAGAGAGGTGTTTTATAGCTCTGGGCTCCCTGCTGGCTCTAGCCTGCCAGTGACCCACAACCAGATGTCACTGTGGCTGAACAGAGAGGGAGGGGGAGAATGAGGGGGAAATGTGTTTGTTAGGATGGTTAACCCCTTTGCCAAGATGGAGGTTGAAGCCAAAATGGTTGAACCGCGTCCATCTCTGGGAATACGCTGTTACATGAGCCACTTAAGTTAGGGAAAGGCCAAGCCAAGGCTTCCTATCACAGCTAATAACACCTAAAAACAGTGCAGCACATTACCAGCAGGACCGTGCTAGGGATGTCTACAGTGGAAGATATCTATGGTCAAAGCTTTTGTTCATACTTCTCTTGTGGATCACAGGAGTGCACTTGCTTTTACTCTCCTGTGTCTCAGAATCAGTTGATATCACAAAGCTGCTCCAGCCTCTGGGAAATTCTCAACAATGTCAGGATTCACCCAGATGCCTGATTGGCAGCTGGCTCAGTCTCTCAGTGTGCCACTGACAGCCTGAGCCAGCAGCTCTCACCCACCTCCCAGCCTGGCACTCCAGTCAGCACTGGAGAAATAGAGCAGGGAGCGATGACCAATAGTCACTGATCTCTGCTCAAAGCAGACTGAGAACTGAGCGATCAGTGGTCATGTGATCGCACAATTCTCAGGCTTAGAGCCAGCTAGGGATGCTGCAGCAAGTGGGTGAGTATCGATGTTCATTTTTTCAGAACCTCACACTTGTTATCCTGGTTTTTTTTTTTTCCTGTTTTAAAAGGACAACTGACTAAGTAATGCCCTCTTACAATCTCCCAGTCATCACAGTATAGTTGAATACATTGAAGACAAATTTTCATACACTCCAAAACACAATGTTTTAAAGTATATGTCAGTGGTAGGTAAATCTATTTTTTTGAAGGGGTATGAATAAATGAAAGTTGTACATAACAGATAGAATCAGATTCTCTGTTCAGCTAATTTGTGAAAGCTGTGCTCAGTGATGTACCTGAACAAGTTGTCGGAATCATCCCTGGCGAGGTGTAAAAATTGCGCTCCTGTGTTTTCATGGTCGAGCTTTACTGCAGTTATAAAAAATTCAGAAACAGGCGTGACCTGAAACAAAAACAACAAACTCTTATTAAAGGTTTACTTAACAAAAGGCTTAATATAAATAGTTGTAACCATAACCACAACAGTGTAAATACAGAATAAAGTATTTCATACAAAGTGTGTTGTAATACCAGACCTAGTTAGGTGTACACAGGTAGAACCACAGCAGGACAACAAGCAATACAACCCTTTAATTATAGAGGGTATAGAAAAGAATCACCCCCTTTAAAATAATCACATTTTGTTGCTTTGCAGCCTGAAAATTGAGTCAGACAGTTTTTGTTCTATCCAACTGTATTTACTCAGTGCAACTTATAACATCCAAATGCAAGATTTAACACCAACATGTCAGGGATATAAAAAAAAAAAAAAAAAAAAAAAAAAAAAAAAAAAAATCATAAAAACAGAATCACCGAGTTGGAAAAAGGATCACCCCCCTGGTGTCAGTATTTTGTTGAACCACTTGTTTTAATTTCATCCTTTAGGTCTGTTGGGATAGGTCTCTACTAACTTTGCACATCTAGGAGTTTGCAATATTTGCCCACTCTTCTTTGCAGAATTGCTCAGGTAAATTTGATGGTGACCGTTTGTGGACTTCAAGGTTATTCCACAGATTTTCAATGGGATTTAGGTCTGTGCTCTGACTAGGCCTTGCAAGGACATTTACCTTTTCCTCCTTTAACCATGTGTGGTCATTTTTGCTGTGTAGTTTGGATCATTGTCATGCTGGAAGCTAAACCTTCTTCCCATTGACAACTTTCTGGCAGAGGGCAGCAGATTTTCCTCATTTGATGATATTTTTCCCCATTCATTCTTCATTCCATCCTGACAAGTGCTCTAGTCCCTGCTGCAGAGGAACCCCCCCATAACAGAATATTACCACCTCCATGCTTTACTGTAGGAATGGTTTTATATGGATAGTGAGCTGTACTGGATTTCCGCCAGACATATTGTTTAGTGTTGAAGCCAAATAATAAAATTTTAGTCTCGTCTGTCCACTGCACCTTTTTCCATGTGGCCTCAGAATCTTCAAGGTGCGTTTTGTCAAAGCTTAGTCATGACTCCTTGTGGCCTTTCTTAACGAGTGGTTTTCTTACAACCCTCCCATACAAGCCACATTTGTGGAGAATTTGTGATATTGTTGCCACATGAACACAATGACCACTCTGTCAAATTCCTGCAACTGCTTCAGAATTGCTGTAGGCCTCTTGGCAGCCTCCCTGACCAGTTTTCTCCTTTCTCTTTCATCTAGTTTTGAGCAACGTCCTGATCTAGGGAGGGTCTGTGTTACATCAAATACCTTCCACTTCTTAAAAATAGACTTCACGGCGCTTCTAGGCATTCATAAAGCCTTTGAAATTTTTTTTATCAATCTCCTGCCTGTGCCTGTGCCTGTCCACAACTTTATCTTGGAGATCTTTTGACAGTGCCTTGCCACCCATGATTGTTTGCTTCATTTACACTACCAGGGACTGAAATGCTCCAGGAAAGCTCTTTTAATGCTGAGCTAATCAAAATGACCACAGCTAATCACAGTTGAAAGTCGAATGGCTTTGTGTGCCATTGAGAAGGTGATTAGCTACACCTGTTTGAGTTTACAAGTCATTTTTTAAATTTACAACAGCTGGATAAAACAAAAAATGTGTTTCTTCATTTCAGGCTGCAAAGCAACAAACTTTGATCTTAAAAGGGAGTTTTCTATACCCATTGTATATGCAAGTCTTGAAAGTAGCGGCTCATGGGACAAAAAAAAAAAAAAAAAAGTGCTAAAGCACAATACTGAAAAGGACTGCAGAACTGCTGGTGCTTGCAGACTGATCTCTGCAGTGGGCCCCAAGTTTTGCTCTCCTTTAAAGAATAGGTAAGTTCAATCACAAAGATATGACCTCCACCAAAATGCAAACAAAAATTAGCAGAGTGAAAACCACTATTCTAAAATGCAAACAAAAATTAGCAGAGTGAAAACAGTCACTATTCTACTATGTGCCTCTAAGGAGAAGTGTACCTATGTATTAAAAATGAATATAAACACATGGTTATTCAGCTGATTTGGGACTGGCAGATTTCATTATTAACTTATTAATAAAATATACACCACTCAGCCATAACATTATAACCACTGACAGGTAAAGAGAATAACACCAATCATTTCTTACAATGGCATCTAAGAGTGGGTGGGATATATTAGAAAACAAGTAAACATGTTTTCCATGAATCTGATGTGTTGAAAGCAGAAAAAAAATGGGCAAGTGTAAGGATCTGAACGACTTTGATTTGACAAGGATCAAATTGTAATGGGTAGATGACTAGGTGAGAGCAACTCCAAAATTTCAGCTCTTGTGGGATGTTCACGGTCTGCAGTGGTTAGGCCAACAGACGACAAGGTCACAGGTGGCCACAGCTCACTGATAAACATGGGGAGCAAAGGTGTAGTTCAATCCAATAGAAGAGCTACTGGAGCTCAAATTGCTGAAAAAGTTAATACTGGTTCCAATAGAAAGGTGTCAACACACACAATGCATTGCAGTTTGTTGTGTATGGGGCTGTACAGCAGCAGACTGGTTAGGATGCCCACGCTGACTCGTGTCCACAGACAAAAGAGCCTACAATGGAAACGTGAGCATCAGAACTGGACCACTGAGCAATGAAAGAAGGTGTCCTGGTCTAAAGAAGTGTTTTCTTTTGTTTTTTTTTGTGTGTCTCTCTTACCTGGGTAAGAGATGGCACCAGGGTGCACTATGGGAAGAAGGCAAGCCAGCGGAGGACGTGATCTGCTACTGATGGAAGGTATACCACAGCATACCGCCAGAGGTCTATTGGACTCGAAGGGTCAGGGCTGTTATGGTGGAAAAAGGGGACCTACTCAATATGAATGGATGGCCATGACATTATGGCTGATCGGTGTATATGCCTTGAGTCATTTATCTAAAAACATGTACAAAACAAAAAAATGCGAAAACAGAGTAATTGAGAGGAAAGCTGGAAAAGTTTTACTACTGCTGCAAGAACCAAGATATTCCTGAGACTCCAAGCTCATACCTGGCACCGAGCCAGGATAGCCTATGAAGCAAACACATATAAAGTGATATAGGTGGTGCTTGCTTACACAGAGTGCCTGCAGACTATAGACATCTCATCAGAAATGAAAGAATATTTTTACTGGCAGGACACTTGATTATCCCTACTAGAGTTCTCCAAGGACAGCAAGAAAAAAGGAAAAGTGATAGGTTGTAATTGCATATTAGCTTGTAATACTTGGATACATTAACCACTTGTCGTCCAACCACTGTACTAAGATGGCTAGACAGCTCAGATCTGAGGGTGGGGGGGGCGTAATAAATCATCTTACCGCTCTTGCCACTCCTGAGTGTCCTGTGTTTGCCATGTCCTTTGGACACAGCAGATCACAGCTCAGGGTACAGGGCCAATTAAATATTGGATTTGCAATATATTTGGGTTTGCAAAAGGCATTTGGGCACACAAAGTAGATTTATATCCCTGTGGCTATTGAGTAATGCATAGGAATTAAAATTATGTGTTCAAGTTCAGTTTTAAATAGACGTCACCTCTCCCTTTTTGTACTATCTGTAGCATATGAACAAATTTTGAAGTTCTACTATGTGAAAGGTGTGAACCTAAAGACAGACTGTAGAGTCAACCAAGAATATAGACAAAATATATTTTACAGAAATTACATCAGTAAATTGAATTCTGACTGGCTGCCCGGAGATACTGAAGTTTGCATATTATCCTTGTCTCTATACCAGAGAAGGTCATACAAGATACACACTTCATACAAACAAGTTGTACCTCATGTTAATGCCATGTCATTACCTCTTTCACTGTGAATCCATGAATAACTTGGCCAGGTTTATAATTCAGTGCTCTCTCAGATGCAGAGCTTGCTTTCCACCTCCATGAATTTGCAAATAAAGCTCTACAAAAAGGAAAAAACAACAATAATGCATTGCAAGGTAGTGTTCTTCAAATTGTATATTGCATTAAATATTTGAACAGCAAGAATAAACGCCAACAGTTTACATAAACACTGCTCAAATTAAAGGAACACTTTGAAAACACATCAGATCTCAATAGGGAAAATATGCTGGATATCTATACTGATATGGACTGGATAAATGTGTTCGGATCGATGCCCCATCATTTGATTTTCAGGGTGTCTGAATTCAGTCCTCTGTAGGTTAATTTTAATTTCCAGCAAAGTGAAAAAATTATACAGCAGGCTAGTCCATTTTGCTGAAATTTCATTGCAGCAACTCAAAATGGTACTTACATACATGCCTAACAACGTCAGGGCATGCGCCTAATGAGACGACGGATGATGTCCTGGGGTATTTCCTCCCAGATCTGGACAAGGGCATCACTGAGCTCCTGGACAGTCTGAGGTGCAACCTGGTGGTGTCTGATGGACTGAAACATGATATCCCAGAGGTGTTCTATCGGATTTAGGTAAGGTGAGCGTGGGGGCCATTCAATGGTCTTAATTCCTTCATTCTTCACAGACTGCCTGCATACTCTCGTCACATAAGGCCGGGCATTGTCGTGCACCAGGACCCACTGCACCAGCGTAGGGTCAGACAATGGGTCCAAGGATAGCATCCCAATACCTAATGGAAGTCAAGGTGCCATTGTCTAGCCTGTAGAGGTCTGTACGTCCCTCATTGGATATGCCTCCCCAAACCATCACTGACCTACCACCAAAATGGTCATGCTGAAAGATGTTACAGGCAGCATAACGTTCTCCACGGCTTCTCCAGACCCTTTCATGTCTGTCACATGTGACGAGGGTGAACCTGCTCTCATCTATGAAAAGCACAGGGTGTCAGTGATGGACCTGCCTATTCTGGTGTTCAATGGTAAAAGCCAATCCAGCTCTATGGTGCTGGGCAGTGAGCACAGGGCACACTAGAGGACGTCGAGCCTTCATGAAGTCTGTTTGATTATTCTGTCAGAGACATTCACACCAGTGGCCTGCTGGAGGTCATTTTGTAGGGCTCTGGCAGTGCTCATCCAGTTCCTCCTTGCACAAGAGATACCGGTCCTGCTGATGGGTTAAAGACTGTCCAGCTCTCGAGAGTAACTGCCTGTCTCCTGGAATCTCCTCCATGCTCTTGAGACTGTGCTGGGAGACATAGCAAATCTTCTGGCAATGGAACGTATTAATGTGCCATCCTGGAAGAGTTGGACTGCCTGTGCAACCTCTCTAGGGTCCAGGTATTGCCTCATGCTACCAGTAGTGACACTGACCCTAGCCAAATGCAAAGCCTGTAAAACCATTCCTGTTTTGGGGGTCGTCTCATTGTTGCCCATCTAGTGCACCTGTTGTTAATTTCATTAACACCAAAGCAGATGAAACTGATTAACAACCCCCTCTGCTACTTAACGGACCAGATAAATACCCCAGGAGTTTGACTTTATGCTATACTCTGATTAAAAAGGTTCCTTTAATTTCTTTGAGCAGTGTGTGTATATATATGTGTGTGTGTGTGTGTGTGTGTATGTGTATACACACACACACGCCAGGAACTAGGTGAAAGGAAATAGAAGTGGTGAGAGCTAGTAAAAGTGCTAAAATCACTTTGATTGTCCTGCTAGGTAGGAAGACACTAGGGGAGTATTTTTATTGGTCTGTACTATGAATATCCTTTACCAACTTTCAATCTAACCTGTAAAAAGAAACTGTGCAGCTTTGACCAATGCTAAATAATTCCTTTGCTAAAAGGTGTAGGCAAACTATATACCTCCTGAAACCTGACTGAAAAACTCCCGGAGATCGCATCATCTTATCCTGCCTTGTTGCTAGAATTCAAAGTTCTTACTGTTCTCCCCACCATCACAGAAGTGATTTCTCATTTCTAATTCATTTCTCTAATTCAAACCCCCCAACATGTTCTTGATCCCCCCCAATGCAGTAGCTCTGAGCTCAGTGTTTGAAACCTTGCTATTGTGATGGTCAGCTTGAACAGTAAAAGCCAGGAGTAACTTAGCAACATTCTACCAACAAGGCAGGATAGGATGAGGCCATCTCCAGGAGTTTTTGAGTTAGGCTTCAGGAAGAATGTAAATGGCCTACACCTATAGCAAGTGCATTATTCAACGTTGGTCAGAGCTGCACAGTCTGTTTTTATCTACAGGCGCCCCCCTTACCTATATAGGCAGTTTATTGCTAAAGGTGGACCATGCTTTCAACACTATGAAAATTATGACCTTTAGGAATTCAGAATTTGCACAGCATTTTCAGGAGTCTCCAGTGGCAGGACTCTAAAGACAGGAGCAGACACATTAGTTTGCCTGTTATACGGTGAGTCACTTAGGTGTCAATAATAATGCAGCTTTAATTTAAAGTCTGAACTAAAAAATATTTGCAATGAAATAGGATATATCTAGAATTGTTAATTGTGACTAAGCAGTTCGCTGAAAAATGTACCCTTTTTCTTGAACGCTTTCTGAAAAAAACAAAAAGACAATACAAAAAAAAAAAAAAAAAAAAACAGTACACTTCCACAGCCTCATGGCTGTATATCTACTTTGTGAGATCAAAGGCACTGCTGCCTTGGACTGCTAGCTTGCAAGATTTGGAGTGAGATCCAGTGATGGTCTGCATCATTCATTCTGTGGATTTCTGATTTCCTGCTGCTTCTTGATCATTACCCCACCAGTCATCAGGTGGGGGACAGCTCTGACATGAGGAAGCAAAGCCCTGCTCCTTTACCAAGATATCCTCCACCACACAGAGGACAGAACAAGGCATGGTGGATCAGTAATGGATGACAACCAGCTGTTGGGAGTCCACATGATATCCAGCGACTAGTATTTTTTCGCTCTACTTGCCTTTTTTTGGACACAGTTTTCCACAAGTCAGTCGTCTTTAGGCTTCATGCAGACAGGTAATTTACAATACTCCCATCTATGCTGGATCTTTTTGCCAAAAGCAAAATTCATTTTGGCACATAATCTTTCTACTGGCTAGAATATTCTATTTCTATTAGAGAGAATATACATGCATATGCATGCGTTTACACAAGTTTATGCTTTAGGTGCGTATGTGGGTAAATTATGTCAGTAAGCTCCTTTCTGAATGCAGGTTTGGGCCATTTTTTTATGCCCCTGAATACTGCTCTGAAATTCTAGCCACCACAATAGGCATGGACACATTGGGGTTGATTTGCAAAAGGCATATAGGCTGCAGTCTGCAAGTGCAGTTGCTCCAGAGTTTAGTAAATGAGATAAAGCTTCACTTAAAGAATGCCCAATCACCTGGAAGGACAATTTAAAAAAACCCAGCATTTTTGCTTGCACACGATTGGATAATGGAAGTCAGCACAGCTTCCCCACATTTATGAAGCTCTGCAGCAACTGCACTTGCAAAGTGCACAGTCTATTTGCCTTTATTAAATTAACCCCATTGGCTGAAATAGAGCTGTGTTCAGAGGGATTAAAAAAAAAATGCCTCTAAAAGCAATGTTTTTTTCTGTCCTGTGTGCATGAGACCTTATAAAGCAAAAAAATTTAAAGTGGTTCAACCTACAGGCTTACACATGTTCTATAGCTACTTTTACCAAAAAAACATGCATCAAAGGCCCCCCCAGGTAAGAATTCCGCACAACACCCTCACTTCCACAATGCCACCCAGATGGATTTTTTTTTTCTTTTGGAGATAAAATCTCTCACACATAGCTTGTGCCTGCAGGGAATACCTACAACCCTTCATTTTAGTGAATAGAGATTAACTGAGCAAAGAATTAATTTGTGCCGTGGCACTTACCAGCATCAAGTAGGACCAATCCAACAGCTACAATACAAGGCAGAGATCAGAGCCCCTTCCAGTGATCAGAGCCCCTTCCAGTGACCACATTCCTAACAAGTCTATAAAAGTAGTCCGTTTAGGAGTAAATGTTAATTGAGTCTAAGTTCTGACACAAACAACAGGGTTAGACTGCATTTCATACTAACTGACCCACTGAACTACTGCCAGTTGGTTCAATGAAGAGAAATGTAAAGTAATGCACTTAGGGGCTAAAAATATGAATGCAAACTACACGCTTGGAGGGAGAACCTCTGGAGAAATCCTGGACTGAAAAAGATCTGGGGGTCCTAGTTAAAGCAAAACTCCACCCAAAGGGGACGTTCCGCTTTAAAGATTGGTCCCCCCCGATCCCCATTAAGGATTGGCACCGTTGGGGAGCGGGTACCCAAAATTGACAGGTACCCATTCCCACTTCTGCTGCGAACGCCTAGGTGATTGGAAGTTCTCTCTCCCCTCCCTCCCTGTAGTCTTCTGGGACACGTGTGACAGGTCCCAGAAGACTAAGGGACCATTCACAAAGCGCAGTGCTACTCACCCACACTGAAAATATTGGCGCCAGGAACAACGGGCGGCCAGTGGAACGGGCTGCATGGAGAACACCACAGGATCGAGGGACAGGCGAGTGTGTTTTTTTAAAGGTCAGCAGCTACAGTTTTTTTAGCTGGCGACTTTTATTTTTTTTTTTTAAGAGTGTAACTGGAACTTTGCTTAATAACAGACTCAGCAATAGCATGCAATGCCAAGCTGCAGGCCAGTAGAATAGCATGCATTAACCACATGCCCTCTGGAAGATTTTGCCCCCTTTGTGAATAGGCCATTTATGTTTTTTGGCACTACGTTACTTTAACTGACAATTGCGTGGTCATGCAACATTGTACACAAATGACATTTATATAAATTGTTTTCACACAAATAGAACTTTATTTTGGTATTTGATCACCACTGTGTTTTTATTTTTTGCGCTGTAAGTGAAAAAAGACCGATATATAGCAGGACTGTGATAGTATGCTGGGCAATCTGACACTGTGGGAACCAGTGACACTAATACAGTGGTCAGTGCTAAAAACATACACCGACACTGTATTAATGACACTGGCTGGGAAGGGGTTAAA